AGGCCTTGCCTCGGTCGCCGCCTGCGCACAGTTGCTTACTCCACAGCTGTGGTTCTGGGCGTACTCTTGTGCTATACACATTTTGACAGTTCTGAAAATGTTTGGAAGTGTTGAATATTATGGTGAGTAAACGTAATGATAAATTGCCGATAAGGTCGTCCTATGAGCAAGGCCAAGTACTAGTCGCCGACTAGACATGCGCAAATCATGACATCTATCCGAGTGCACCTGAAATATTTCCTTTGCATTTCGGATCTATGTCCATTATTATGTCCTCGTTCCGTTACCCCATAATTATATTATTTATTATAATCTCCATATTATTGTAATAATTAATACTTGGCCAGCCGTGTGGTGTACTGGCCAAGAATTAATAAAAAAAGGAAAATAAAAAATAGGGAGATTTTTGCGGAGTTTAAAAAAACAGTATTTTGTTTAATGATAATAATAATAATATAATTTCTTGAAAATAAAAGTGTTTCCATGACAATAATTAATTTGCATGAAACGATCCCTACAGTACCTACCTAGTAAGATTTACCTACATTGTAGGTAATTTCCTTACTCGACTGCGCCATGACTTACAAATAAATATAACTTGTATGTTTAAAATAATATTCTTTTATTGAATTATGTAAAAATAAAAATCAGCATTCGGGGTTTTTACAAGCTTTTAATTAACTTGCAATATAGGTAGGTATATAACTTTGTTTGTTCGGGTGGAATCTTGAAACTCAATTTTGAAGCAGATATCTTCAACCGGTTGAGCTGAAATTTTGTATGTACACTTTTTGATTAAAAATCACGGTTAGCTGTGTGAAGTCATTCTAAATCCAACATGGCGGAATAGTTATTTTTAATGCATTCCTAAATTATGGGTATATGGGCTTGCGGAGAATCTTTACATATAAAATAAAATATTTACAGTCATAAAATTAGAAAGAAACTCAATTATGTAGATGAAATTAAAATACTGTAGGCGGGCGGTCCTACCGCGTGTTAACGCAGCGCTCGGCCGTAGGAATTTATTTCAAGGACAGGGCCGAGTCACAATACTGTATAGATAATATTACCGTGGTTCGGTCGTCCCTGCGGCGCATTCGCGACTGGGTGCCCACCGAGTGTCGCGCGAACTCGAGTGGCGTAGTTATGACTCGCTTTCCGACCGTTTGTATGAAGATATAATACTGTATAGATAATATTACCGTGGTTCTGGTAAATATCAATAATACACTGTATGAGATTAAAAATAATTTAATTATTTTTTTGTCGGACATTCGTCATCAATATGTATAAGAAGACATTATCGACATGTCGACTCTTCAGGGTCTAATGCTTTGACGAATCCAGGTATTGTAGGAGTGTACTTTCGTATAAACCCCTGATATGCCCTCAGTGCCACAGAGGTGCGGTCCGAAGCTAAGCACGCCTTCTGCCGTGAACACTTTGGGGCCTGTCTCGCGTTCAGTCTTCAACATGAGGGGACCGCCGCTGTCGCCGTTGCACGAGCCCTTGCCTCGCTTGCCGCCTGCGCACAGTTGCTTACTCCACAGCTGCGGTTCTGGGCGTAGTTTTGCGCTATACGCATTTTGACAATTCTGAAATATTTTAAAAGCATTGAATACTATGGTTAAGTAAGCGTAATGATAAAATGCCTATAAGTTCGTCCTATGAGCAAGGCCAAGCACTAGTCGTAGTCGACGACTAATCGACCCAGCTAGAAGTAGGACTAGAATTTGCTCGTAAGATAGCTTTCATAGCTATTACGACAGCGGAGAACTTGTGGAGAGAGTCTGTTATGTTTAATGTGAACAACCAACAATTCCAAGTAACAAACTCCTAGTATATACATATCTTTTTTAGATTTGATTGACATAGGATCACCACATCTACTGTTCTTGGGCGACAAAACAGTTAATAACTGGTCACTATTTTCTCCAAATCGACATATGTCACTGCCATATGCCATAATGTCACATTTTGTAACATCGTGTTATGTGATTAAAGTGCTTGCTGTTTATCATGGAAATATTATTATACCTGCACATCTACGATTGGTACATTGACATATTGTTTCAAAGCGCTGTTTTGTATGTTCCAGGACATTTTACCCCAACCGGCCACATGTACTGTTAAATTAGACAGCTGCGCCGACGTTGACACGTCTGATGTTGGTAGGCAAATTGGTCGAACAAAATCTGTAAATACAATAAGTGTACATTCAATCTGTTAGTAATGGCTCTCGGTTTTCTACGAGTGTGGTTATATATAACTGTTTGCAAGGTGTAGGGCGCAAAGCAATTGTTATCTTATCCAAAAACAGTGTCTAAAGGATAGAGGTAGGTCAGCAAAACTTTGATTGAACTTAAGAAAGAATCTAGTTTCGTGCAGCAATAGTTTAACTTTTGAATACCTGTGTAGTTCGCCTCTCCGTCTAGTCTGATCAGAGCAATATCATTTCTCTTAAGTACGGTGTCATATTCAGGATGTTTTATGATTTCCTTTATAGGAATGCTGACAGCTGGGGAGGTGCAGTCTTGACCGCCGCCTGCCACGTCCACACAGTCTTCACCAGGGTTTGTTATGTCATACTCCCCCAACCGAACGCTCACACTGTAAAATGAAACCAAATTGTTTCCTCCTGATGATTTAGATGTTTCATCCAGTGCAAAATTTGAGATGAAAAGGTATACTCAAAATTTTCACCCTTTTACCACCAACCCCTATTTAATATTAGTATTTTTACTTTCATCTACAGGTGGCGGTATGAAGTTTGATGGTCAGATAGTATAGTTATGCGGGTTCGTTGCTTTACACAGTTCCTACTGTTGGTATTTGTATGATTTGTTTGGTGTGTTGTAGTTTGTGCTCAGATAGTTTATACACGCAGAAAGATTGAGTAACGACCAAAAAAAATATAACAATTTTAAGTGAGTGTATGTGAGGAAGGAGGAGGAGCGAGGAGAGGAAGATTTTGGGGAACATTTGGTGTCAATTTTGGCCTAATTATCTAAACCTATACTTAAGTATGACAACAGTGTATCCTTGCCATCCTCTATTCAAATGAATGTAATTGGAAACAGTTTCAAGAAGAGCCAGTTAAATAGTGCCGTAATTCCGTAATAATAGTCTTTACCTATGAATTTGCCCTTGTGCTGTGCTGGTTATATCAAATCCATTTTTTCTATTTTCGTTAAGAATTCTAAGTTCAAATTATTTTTATTTTTAAAACATGGATTTTTGGATAAAACATGGACCATTATGAAAATGATAAATTTTTTGAAAATTTATCATTTTTATAATGGTTAGCGTACTGTTTTCAATGCATTTGTACGTTTTTCGTCATCATGGATACGGTAAAAATTCGAGTTATTATAGAGTATGAGTACCGTCGTGGCAGCAAATCGGCAGAAGCGGCACGCACAGATGTAGGTCTCGATTTAGAGGTGTGGGGCCCTGGGGCAACGAAGGTGTGGGGACCCATATTTTCAAGTCTGGAGGTGGGCCACTTACGATTTGCGACCCTAGGCACGCAACATCAACGACGATTGCACCACCTGTTATTGGTTTGCCCGTTTCCGTTTCCGGAAATATCGACCTAAGTTATGAACCCCGTGGTCGACCGAAAACTTTAGTCGACCATGACGAATTAAAGGGATGGTGGAAGCTGATGATTCTCATCTCATCTACAGCTGAATTAGCAACAGCTTTCGATGGTAGCATCAAAACAATATCGGTCCATTTGCGTCAAATTGGCAAGGTAAAAAAGCTTGATAAATGGGTATCCCACAAATTGAATGTTCGCCAGCGCGCACTACACGTCGAATCGAGACTTGCACTGCTTAACAGGCATACGAACGAAGGCATATTAAATCACATTGGTACTTGCGATAATATAAATGGATTCTGTTCGACAATCGCAATGGCTCAGCAAGTTCGTTAGATCCTGGTTCAGCACCCAAACAATGCCCCAAACGAAAACTGTCCCCTTAAAAGTGGTGGTCTAGCGACTGCGTGGCCATTCGGAGACGTGTGCCGCGACCACACCACACCCGCCCTCTTGGCACGCACTAGGGGGACCACGGTCCTCATAGTGCGTGTCGGGTGACGGTGCAGGAGTATTGTCTAGTTCTTAGTGGCCCTGTTCAGGGCGTAGGTATTAGTAGTATTTCATGAAAAACGGCGATTTCTAGGTAATAATAAGTGAAAATAAGTTATTTCTATCTGCCCAATGGGAGAAAGTTTTTATGTATGTCTGCATGTTGTTGGACTTGGAGTAAGAGGAAACTTTTAGAATAGCTTTCCTGCACATAAATATAGCATCTTGATTTAAATCTATACATATTTAATATTTTATCTCATGTTGTGAGGTTTAGTACAGTTATTGGCAACTCAACTCTGACACATTTAATGTTCTGTCATCTAAGGTACAGGTTAAAGGCTAGCTCATTCGATTATACGTTCATCTTACTTACGGTTTTTTGTCATCTGGTGTGCAGTGAGCCGCAGTCAACACGTATTTGTTACTTATAAGAAAGCCTCCGCAGAGAAGCTGTATCTCGTTATTCAACTTGTATTCTAAGAGCGCAAGCCAAGGATATTGGTCTATATTTGTTGACGTGCCGCCTTGAAAGCAGAAAACATAGTAATTTGTTTAGCATTTTGTTCAATGCTGTTCGTCGTGCAGGCCTACAAGTACGTTCTCTAGTTATATATTAAATCTATCTAGTGTTTGCTATTTGTCAACATGAAAACACTCTGCCCTTATCATGCTTTTTAAGTAATGAAAAGGACAGACTGATCTCAAGTTTACAAATAGTAAACACGAATAGCCAAGTGTCGGCATATCATGCAAAATGTTTCTATTTATAGCGAAGGAATATTTTGTTATGAGTTATTTTTTGTAGCCGTCAAGTTTTAAATACTATAACTTGTTGCGGTAAATTCACAGAACACAGAAAGTATGTTCTGTGAATAAATAAATCATTTGCATTAAATACTTAATTTTCCCTTCGGCCGTTTTCAAAACCAGTTTCGAGAAAATCATTATGATTCTTTTTATGCAACCAGTTTCGAAAACAGAAATGTATTTCTTTTTTCGAAACTGGTTGCCAAATAATAAAGATGTTTCTGTTTTCGAAACCCGAACCAAAAATCTGTTTATGAAAAAATTGAGAAAAAACGTGTAAGGACGGCATTGCCACAATGCCCATAACATTGGACACTACGATCCAGAAAGATATAAAGCAATCAATAGGAAGTAAAAGAAACGCCTTTATGTAAAACGCGGATAAAAGTTAGTTATTTTAAACCTAATGCTGTCTTCTTTTTAGCACACAAAAGTGACGGTCAATTTTGTTGTTAGTTAATCCAGGTTTCACTTTAGTCGCGCGGGCCGTCCTGCGCACGTCTGCGGGGTCCCCGCGATACCCCGAGAGACCCCTGCCGCGGAGCCCCGGCTGCTAGGTGCGGAGACGCGGAAGAATCCCTAAACGGAGATCCCGCGGCTTCGCGCTAAGCAGTTTAGAGGGTGTTCGCAGGGTTTTTTAGCGGATATTATGCCGTAAAGCGTCCGTAAGGGTTACGGAGTCCTCAGTGGGCAGCCACTGCTGGGGCCTGTAAGGCTTGCGGGAGCCAGGTCTGAGGTCCGTTCGGCGGTGTGCCCCTTAAAGGCGCCGTCGTCTGTAAACAGTATTTTTTGCCAGCGTATAAAAAAAAAAGGTTTGACTTTACTCAACATTTAGTAATAAGGCGGAATATCCGGCTGTCACAACGGTTTCAAACCAAAAAAAATCTACTAAAATTAAAATAATAACAAAAGAAGACAATTTTTCATAAAGGTATTATAAAATTAGTTTTTTTATTCATTTGTATCAAAATAAATTAAGCAATTAACGTAATTATGTTAATTTCTAAAAGCACAAAAATCATAAAGATTTGTCTGTGCTTTCTGCATTAATAATAATAAGATCTTTCAATTCAAAGTGGAACGAAAATGACGAATTAACTTTCATGCCGACCGCAATTTTCATTTGTGAAGTTGGATAGATAATATAATTTTCTCATTAATTTTCTCTATAATTTTTGCTCCTTTGTTTTTGTCTGCAACCAGAACATAAGTAAATATACGATTTTGTAGCCCAACAAAACTATACATTTTATACGTATTTGAATTTATTTCATTGATAACGTCTTCAATTCATAAGTGGTAAGAATTTTATTTAGATTTCAAACAGGTGTAACAGAAAGATATTAAGTTTAAACAACTTCAGGTAAATGTACAATGTAGATAGGTGCATAATATTATCCATTGTATTAATTAAGTTATATATTACTTAAATACCCTTTCTTTTACTTCCTAATTATTTATTTATTTATTATTTTCCTGTCGTAGTGTCCAATTTCATAGGCATTATGACAATGCCGTCTTTATACTGTCTTTTTTGAACAGACTTTTGTTTCCGGTTACGGAAACAGAAATGTATTTTTCTTATTTGGCAACTGGTTTCGAAAAAAGAAATATTTTGTGTTTTCGAAACCGATTTCAAAAATATTAAGTATTATAATTCCTTCCTCGAAACTGGTTAAGGAAAATGGTTTCGAAACGGCCGAAGGGTGAATTTTGAGTTACCTGATAAACTTTACTAGCTTATTCAGAAAACAATTTAGGTTAGTTTTCCCAAAAAAAAAAAACTTTAATACGCATTATTTTTATTTACTCCATTTTTAAGTTTCTCAGGTAACTCAAATGCACGAATAGAAATAGAGCACCCTCCATCCTTTAAAGCCGGCGTCGCATTTGTGATACTCCTGGTGTTGCAGGAGTCTGTGGGCGACGGTGATCACTTACCATCAGGTGAGTCGTCAGCTCGTATGCTCCCTATAATAATAAAGGTAGATTATGGTTATTAGGATAAAGCGGTAATACATACCGACAATTCTGCTTTCACCGTTAGCATCGATGCCGCAGCATTCAGTTGCGTGGTCGGGAGGGAAGGCAGTCAGCTGGCTTTGACAGTTACCCCGTCTGGGAGCAGCGGGAGGAGGTCCACAGCACACGTCAAATTCAGAGCTACTAAGACACCTGAAATAAGAATCATCACCAGCCTATGAATGTCCCCACTGCTGGGGCACAGGCCTTCCCTATGGATAGAATAGGCAGATTGAGCCATGACCCACTACGCAAGCCCAGTGCAGAGTTGATAGGTGCTAACGACCGCAGATGTAGCCGGGGCCAACAGCTAAAACCGCCTTCCGAAGCACGGAGAAGCTCGAGATAGTAAATTTGTGGCCACCCATCCAATGACCGACCACGGAGAAAGTTGCTTAGTTTCAACGATCGAAGCCGAGCGCGCTAACCACTTGCGCCATCGAGCTCCACAACAAGAATATTCAACCAAATTGTAATAAACATTGATGAGCAATATCCACGGAAGTTGTATTTGCTGAGGAGGAGATGTTGTATAAGAGTTGCTCAAGAAATTGGGTGCCGGGTGCGTGACACTAACAGCGACATTATAAACTCTAGTAGTCAGTAGGGAAACTAAAAGTAATTATATCCGTCGTGTACTAATAGGTTCAGCTATAAGTATACACTACTATAAAATAGAGTCGAACAGATATCAGCGCATCAGGTGCTGAAAGGCAGTACTTATATTACCACAGACTTAATATAGGCATCGGTACAAATAATGCAAAATCGCTGCTCGTGTAAAGAGGTAAAGAATCTAAATATCATATTTTTTTTGGGAATTCTTATTATTTATCCTACTTTTGGTAATGTTTGTAAAGACCTGATCTAGATTTGTTAAAGTCTTATTGAACGCATGTCTAACTTTTTTGTGGTAAGAATGAATATGTTTTATAGTTTATAATAATTGATTTCGCTCACTTGGAATTCAGTACATAATCAAGCTTTGCAGGGCGCAGGTTCATTAAACTTGGACATTGTCCTATGGGTACACAGGTGCCTTGCTTACCCTCTGGGGTAAAGCAATCCGAGCAGCATACCTGAAACAAATCATCTATTTACTGATTTAAAAGAAAACGGCCGCACTCGAAGACTCCAATCAAGTGTAATTCTTGTCATGCCAGCATTTCAATTGACTACTTGACAACCAACTGTCTTCATCATGCTTTATAAGAAATGAAAAGTACAGTCTGATGTCACAAACACGAATAGCCAAGTGAAGCCGGCATCACAATAATAAATAAATGTTGAAATGTCTAAAGCATTAACTTAATGAAACAATTACAGTTTTTCATTAATCAGTTATCCCTTAAATTTATCAAAAAAATTGAGGATGTGAGGATGTTCCACCAACCTTGGGCGAGATATTTGGGTTCCACGAACCTTGGGCGAGAAATTGGGGCGTGCATGTGTGTGTGTGTGCGTGTGTTGCGTGTTTGCTTGTGTACATGTGCCTACGAATTATTTATATTAATATCCCTGTAGATAATAATAATAATATTTTTTTTCATATATTTGGAATGGAAAACCCGGGTTTTTCTGTCTAATTGTTGTAAAAATATATAAGGTTTCTGAAAACTTTCGACTGCGGATGTTGATGAAACTTACTTTAACCACGTTCATGTTGCTGTTTGATTCGCATTGCAAACTCCGCAAGTAGTTGGCAATCTTCGGGTTTGTTCTGGTGCTCGGCATCAGCTTGATCACCGACGGGCATGCACTGACAGGGGTGCATTTACCATAACCTCCGTCCGGGAGAGTGCAGAAATCTGCTGAACTCGGAAAAAAAACAAACATTGCGTTCTAGCATGATTTTAGCATATGAGTGAAGTAAGCTCAGAGACAAAGCTTTCATAAACTTGTGCGTGTTTGTATGAGCACTGGTGGCTGTCGCTGTCGCGTACTCAGAGAAACGTATCTTGGCGGCGAGGCCTGTCTAATGCTTACCCACACGCGCACTGCATGAAGCTTCGCCTCTGTGACTGCTTGACTCACGTCACGTCAGTATATTTTGTTATAAATGGTTTAGACATGTCTCCCCTCACTTGATGTTAAGTGACGTTGAAGTCCAGTCCATCCATCTAATGAATAATGTGGTTTTCATTTGTTGTCTACGACTCCCTTTTTCGAAATACTTTCATATCCGTTTTTACGTTTTGCCCATGGATGAGTGTGAAATTATGTATTTACAAATATAATGCAATAAATATATATTAAATTTATAAAATAAACATTACACAGGTGCATCGATTCTGGCATGATTCTATAAAGCTAAACATAAATTTGACAATCATTGTCATTCTCTGTACAGAATGAAAAGTAAAGACTGATGTTATATTTACTTTTATGTTTAGAGAATTATGCCAGAATCGACACCACATTCTACCTAACGCATGGAAATACAATAACAAAATAATGATTAAAAATATGTTAGTATTTGACAGAACTAAAAGGACTAATGAGAAGTGCTGATGTAATGGCTACGGAGGACGTCAAATTGATTTAATACAACGAATAAAAGTGTAACGATAAAAAAAAACTAGAAGTTGCCCTGAATTTTCCATTTATTTAAATCCCTCCCTCCCGGATATTGAGCTCTTCTTATACATAAAAGTTAAAATATGTAACATATTTGCGAAATTTTTTGCGGTTTTTTTTTTACGATTTTTCTTAGTATGATGATTGAATTCGCGCTCTCTAAAGTATCGGAAACTACTGTAATGATCGAAAAAATGCAATAATGCCAGTAGGATTTGTATGTCAAACTTACATTGGGATAGTATATTTCTTATTTGTTGTTTTTGAAAACGGCCCTAAATTGGAGCCTGGGCATCGTATTTCAAGACTAAGATATGCCCAGAACCACTTGAATTGGACTATTGCTGATTGGTCAAAAGTTATGTTCTCCGACGAATCAAAATTTATGCTCTACAAGCACGATGGAAGACACGGAGTATATAGAAGACCTGGGGAAAGATTTAAGCAAGCATGCATCGAATAAAAAGTAGCCTACGGTGGTGTGTCTGTACTTGTGTGGGCCGGAATACTTCTGAGAGAGGCACGGAACTGGTGTTCATAGAAAAGGGCTCTTTAACTAGCGAAAGATGTGTGGAAGAAATCTTGAATGAACACGTTGGTCCATTTATGGTCACTTTGGGTTGGAAAGCGAATGACTACCTTCAAGAGATGAAAATTACTCGTATGGAGTGGCCAGCACGCAGCCCGGATATCAACCCTATCGAGCATGCTTGAGACGAGCTTACGCTACGCTTCGTTAGCTCAAAATTGCTCTCACAGACGAATGGGAGAATATCACCCAAAAACATATAAGAAACGTGTACAGCATGCCAAATCGGGTAAACGCAGTAATGGAAGCACGAAGTATTAAAATTCAAGAAAATCGTAATATTGATCAAAAATGACATGTTTCCTATTTTTCTTTTAAGGCGAGACCAGTCAGTATTTTTTTTTTTTTATGTATTTTTTTGTAAATAAAATGAGGTGACTCATTAATTTTATTACTTTCATTTAAGGAGTATTTAATTGTCAATCAAACACAATTTATTTCATTAAGCTAGCATTCTTAGTTTGCGAGATTTTTAGGATTCTTTATGCACTGATTCATTGCTCTCGAGTGTATATTTTATTTATTTTATTTTACTCCTTCCAATATGCTCCAGTTTTACGTTTAAAATAGTACACATAAAATGTTGACTTACCGCAGTTTGCATATCCCGTAGTGAATATCACTATATAAAAAAACAATAGAGGTTTGTTCATCCTCATTAACTGTTCTTGATTGCGAATTAATAATTTATTTAAAACCGGTTGCTCTATCAAGTCATACACATCCAGTGACATTTATAACAGTTTTAATAACATAACCTTTAATATTTTCGTATTTATAAGTGTGTGTTCGTATATGTAAAATACATATTTAAAAGCAGATAAATTATATAAGACCCACAGCCACAGTGTATGTAACATTCCGTATGACGTGGATGATTAAGTATGATTGAGTTAAAGGGGACTTTTTAGCTGTGGAGATAAACAGGCGAAAAAATCTACACAGCGTTAAATTGTGTAAAAATATCTTCACAATATTATATAGTTACAGTGTCAACAAAAAATCATGTCGTTTTAATTTAGTTATCGAAACAGCCTGTCGGAACTTTAGTTTGGAACAGATAAAATCAGAGTGTTTTTGTCTGAAAATAATGAGACTATTATAGAAGGCTTTATTAATAAGTACTTTTTATTGTTCCATACCCAAAGGGTAAAAACGGTACCCTATTATTAATACTCCGCTGTCCGAATATACGTCCATCTCTATAACGTTTTAAAATTGCAAGGTCTTAAGCCGTAAAATGTATAAAAATAGTTAATAATTTCGAAGCGAACACTACAATCTTAGTGAGTGAGTTCTTTTTACAAAGCAAAAGTTTTGTTTTACCGAAAATATCGATAAAAATCGCGTTGATATGGTCGATATATTGGATATCGATGTTTGCCTGACTTCGATTTATTATTATAAATCAATATTGTAAAAACACTGCATCCGCACTTATTACAGAGCTAAAAAAAATACTTAAAATATCGATAATACTGAAAATATCGCGTAAGCGTGGTCGATATATTGGATATCGATATTTGCCCGACTTCGATATAAATATATATATATTAGCACCATAGACGACCAGGGAAGCAATCGTGTAATGGTATTGCTATGGTTATCGCTATTGCTTACGATTTCGTTTTGTTATTTCTAATTGCCGAAGGGAAAAATATATTGGTAAGCGATAGCGATAGCCATAGCATCCCGTAGGTGATTAGCCTCCAGACCAGACCAACGAAACTCTTAGAGACCACGAATTTATAATTCAAATTAGAAGCTCTGGACTGTTGCCATGCGTCGGTCTGTCGTGATAGATGTTTCATATCAATTATTCGTACAAATTCATATGTATTAATTTATTCCAAATAAATAGAAAGAATGTTAACATTGATAGAAACATTTGCACACATTCCTAATGCAAACTTTAGTACGTATCTACTATATTTGTATTAAGAAAGCTAGTTCTTGCTATGCACATTTTCTAATTCCCTGTAACAATAATAAACATTGTTGTTATATTTTAAAAAAATCTAGGCCACTGACTTTAAAGCGTTGCTGTGTAAGAAAGTCAAAAACAATTTACTGTTTACATTTTGATTGTGGCACACACACATAACTTGGATTTTACAATGTCAGAGGTTACAATTATACCCGGAGCAATCTTTAAAAGGAAAATACACTTGTTGATCATCCTCAAAAATAATAGGTAATATTAATTAAATAATACTATCCTTATTCTGTAACGTTAAGCTACCTAATTATAAAACTAAACGCATAATCGTGTTTTCCTAATAAAATTATTTAAAAGTACAACTATTAAAATCAACGAATAAATAATACAATGTGTTGACTCAACAGTATTTTTAGGAATAACCTTAGATTCACGTTTGCAATGGAATCCTCATATAACTACCCTTTCAGACTAGGCTCGGCTGCCTTTGCTGTAAAAAAAATTAGATTACTGTCGGATGTCAAGACGGCAAGGCTTGTATATTTCGGTTATTTCCATAGTGTCATGTCATATGGTATGTTACTATGGGGAACAGCGGCTGATATTCAAGATATTTTTATATTACAAAAGAGAGCCGTACGCGCTATTTATAAATTAAAACCGCGTGATTCACTGAGAGAATTATATAAAGACATCAATATTTTGACGGTTCCCTCGCAATATGTATATGACAACATTATGTATGTCCACAAAAACTTGCATACCTTTTTAAAGAATAGTGATTATCACAATGTCAATACAAGAGGTAAAAATAGACTTGCTGTTCCGACTTTCAGACTTCATAAAACTAGTCAATCATTCATGGGGAAATGTATACAAATATATAATAAACTTCCACTTAATGTAACTGAACTACCATTACATAAATTTAAACTTCATGTTAAGGAAATTTTAATGAAAAAGGCATATTATAAAGTTCAGCAATATTTAGACGATAAAAAGGTTGGGATACATTCCAATGTGCTCGATTCTCCACTGAAATCCAGAAAGATATAATTAAGCGTATACTTATTATTCTAAATTGACAATATTGTAAGGAAAGACGTCATGGATCACATCTTTTACATATATTCTTTTATTTCGTAGTAACTACTGGTCTTTTATTTATTTATACTTTTAAAATTAATTAAACTATTAAAGACCTGATGTGGATTATGACTCTTTCCAAATAAATAAAAATAGATAGTGTAAAGGGAGGACAAAACTTGCTGAGTTTCTTGCCGGTTCTTCTCAGACAAAGCCTTCTGGTAGACTCTTGAACCGATGGCATCAAATTTGACTTTCATAAGTGTGCAAATTGTACCTAAATGAATAAAGAAATTTTGACTTTGACTTAACATTTAGGGGGATGAAAAATAGATTACATCCGATTCTCAGACCTACCCAATATGCACACAAAATTTCACGAAAATCGGTCGAGCCGTTTCGGAGGAGTTTAATCACAAACACCGCGACACGAGAATTTTATATATTAGATATATAACTCAGTTTTTCTACCGTAAAATGTTGTGACATCCATGTAATATTCGTAAATTATTTCATTCATACATTCGTACTTTGTACTTTCGTACACACATGAAAGTGGACGAACCTTCCCGTAGTCTTCCACACATTCGCGCACCCGGTTGCCAAGGTAACGGTTGACGTAATTTATGAAATAAAATTATTTTAATTTCATCAAATCTGTCAAGTTGCCACCACCACCACACACTGGGAGTGCCATACCTTCCATCTTATACTATCATGCAACTGACAATAGGTTGCTGGCAGGCCTGTCACGCCTGTTTTCTTGGGCCACGATTGTACTATTGTTTTTGGCAAACTACTATCTTTTTAACTTCCGTAAATCCGTTAAATATTCTATTATTTGGGTAATATTTGGATTATGATAATCAATTTTTTTATTATTGCAATATTGTAACCATGAATTTAGCGTTGAATTATATTGATTAAGTGTGTTTGTAGAAAAGGACGACATTACTATGTCTAGTGAGGCTTAGGGTATACCATGCCTTAATAACGACTGCTGGATAATTTCCCTGCCATCAGGCTGAGATCCGTATGTAGGGGATGTTTGTCTCTGAAAGGTGAAAATAACAAATTTGGATGAGGCTTAAAATATATGACTTCAGATATTAATAACATTGACCATAATGGGTACCACGATTATGTGGGACAGTATGGCACTACTAAGATGCCTTCGGCCTTGTCTATTTTATTTTTTTGTAATACTTTACTTATTAAGCTGAATGGAGGGAAGGCATACAATTTCAAATTATTCCAACAGAATGTGAACGCGTCAACTATTTCAGAATTGGGATCTAATTTCCACGATGCATATCTATATCATTTATGATTTTGAATACTAGCAAATAAGTCAAATTTTGGTGTACCCAATTTAAGGGTTATTTTCTTAAAAATATATTTGTTTCACGAGATTCAAAATCTGCTACAACATTTTGACTTGACGAAATATATGAGGCGAAAACATAAATGTTTCGCTTTTCACACCATTGCCATATATCACGGGCGATGTTATTTAAATGTTTGTACTGTGTTCCCCCCATTTTATTTATATAAGCGATGGCTGTCGTATTATCTATTCTTAAAAGGATGTAACAATTTTGCACTTGTGAAGCAAATATTCTGAGACCGTAAAACGCAGCTAACAATTCTAGTGTGTTTATGTGAAGAGATTGTTGGGAGTGCTTCCAGTGTCCGCTGGCGGTCTGGTTACCACACGCCGCACCCCAGCCGGTGGTTGAGGCGTCGGTAAATTTAACTAAGGAATAATTAGACATATGAAATGGACATGACGAGAACTCAATATTTTTTATCCACCACCTGATATCTTCTTTTGTACTTTCAGGCAACAACATATATTTGTTATATTTGAGAGAATAATTAAGGGCTAAAAACTTTTCTCTTTCAAGTAATTTAGTATAAACCCAGCCATATTTAACAGCGGGACACGCTGACGTTAGCACGCCTAAAAATATTGCCAGTTCACGAATAGTACATCTTGTTGTATGTAAAAATTCATCATCAAGGGTATATGATCTTAGTTTTTGTGTTCCGGTTTGATGGGGTTCAGAAAGAAACGGTATTTTATAACCCCTTATCCACTACAGAATTATTTTGTCATTTGTTATATTAAGCCATTAGTCATAATAAAATTGTAGTCTACCCGCGACAGTAAGAAGTTCGGTATTTTGTACCTCTGATGGCGTGGTTAACGTCTCCAATGCTGGTGACTGTACTGGCTGGTCCTGGGTTGGTTGGCCCCGCGGTGGCGGCCCCGCGGCGGCGGCGGCGGCGGCAGCGGTGGCCCTTGGCGCCGAGGTTGTGGGGGGTTCACTCGCTGCTCGGCGGCCGCTACTCGCGGTGCCCCCCTGGCGTTTAAAGTCTCCGGTCGACGAAATCCAGATGTGCTGAGTTGAGCGATTGGCTGTTGGTAGTACCTACGACATGCTGTAGGCTTCAACTCTAATGCAGACTTAGATATGGCTTTCAATGACTTCAGATGATCATGTAAATCGGAAATATTAATCGATTTTTGTATTTTTTATTGTATCTCGCTTTTGTTTGCTGATTGAATTTATAATGGAAAACCTCCTTGATACAGATTCTCTGTAATGAGTATTGCATAGTAAACGACCTGCGTCACCTAATGTTTTTATTATTTCCTATGGTATTATTTGTTCCTTTTGAGCCAATGCTAAATTCAGACCTCGACCTATGGCGGCAATACAACTCGCCATTTGGTTTTGCTTTTGCTCGCTATAAGAGTCCTTTTTTAAATTGGTTTCCGAAAGAGCCGATTTGACTTCGGGATTTAGCTTCGGTGCTTTCATATGTATGCAATTTTCTGCGGGAAGGTACTGTTTAAGCAAATCTGATTTTTCATCTTATGGCAATCCGTTAATCAATATGTATTTCCACGTTACTGCTAAGTCCTGATGTAAGTTATCGCCAAAGCTTTTATCTAGTGTTGGGTCGGCACCTAACAGCTCTAAAATATCCGGTTCTAAATCTAGACTATTATCAGGATTCTCCGTTTGAAAAGGAGCCTCATTAACTGGGATCTCATCCGTAAGCCATAAAACACAACATTAAATAAAATTGTTGTATGAAACACTATTTCAAGAGAAATAGGCACTTTTTATCCACACACGATAATGTCGGGATAAAATTAATTAGCATTTTTTTTATTTTTTTTATTTTTTATTTTTGTGTGTTATCTACACACGGTAATCCGTCGAGATAAATAATAGGTGATAAAGCAAACACCCACACACGGTATACGTCGGGATTTTATTGCAATTTTTTTAAAACGCCATTGTGTCTACACACGTAAAAACGTCGAGACATAGATAATTTAATTAAATACTTATATATTTTTCCCATATGAGAAAAAATATGGTGTGTAGTGAAGAGAACTTATATCCATTTTTAAATATCCATTGTAATACAACTACCGCTTCAATAGAATTTAACTTTGTATGTTATATCAATGATAGAAAACTCACCAATTTCTGGATCACTCATTAAAAATAATTTGATGCTCCTCATTATCGGTTGATAACAAATGTTCCGTCCGTTCGTCCTCCGAAGAGGACGATTCTATTCGCCGACCTTTTTTAACCAACTGTTTAACCTTTTTAACGATTTTTTCCACTATTTTTAAGTCACTATCATCTCTACTAGATTTTCTCTTTCTTTTACCCATTTCTAGTCTTTTTCGAAATTATATAAAAAATACTGTGGTTTGGACGACACCAAAACGAGTAATGGGTAGGAACAGTCAGTGCCGGTAGATGGCGGGCTGTCATAGTCCATAGATAAAATGACTTTGATATATTATTTTTTTAATTCAAAAAGATTAAGTAGCTCTTAAATGTGGTGAGGACATCATCATCTCGTGAGCTGCTGCATGTAATAGGTAATCATCTTCGGGAGAGATATGAAGTATAATTTTTGTAATATACAATGCGGCATAAAATTCTGTGAGTGAACCATCACCCCTGTTTTCCCACCCTAAGAGCAGCATTTTTTTTTCTAAATATATCTGGGACAACCAACTTCGAGGTATTCTCTTTTCTGAAAATTCATGTTGATTACATCACAACGTGATCTCAAATCAAATGTGGACGGCAGCGTTTTATCCTTAGAAAAGCGCATGCTGTGGAAGTAAATATTCTCAGAGTACGTTCTGATGTATTTAACATGACTTTTAAGAAAAGGGAAGACGTTTTGAAAGAGATTAGTGGGTCCATCTTTTAAAATCAGATCGAGTGAGCAATGCGGACCAAAGTTCGCCGTGTGCGTTTCCGATTTTTTCGGGGATAGTGATAAATAAATAAATAAATAAATAAATAAATAAATTCCAACACTCACACCAATTAGCCTAGCCCCAAAGTAAGCACTGTAAGGCTTGTGTTATGGGATACTAGGGTAACGGATAGAATACATATACTGTACATATATAAGTATATTTATATAGAAATACATATTAAACATCCATGACTGGAGTACAAATGCTCGTGTTCATCACCACAAACATCTGCCCCCACCGGGATTCGAACCCGGGACCTCTCGAGTCGGCGACACCATGAAACCCGGCGTAGAAACCACTCGGCCACGGAGGTCGTCACAATGAAATGATATGATATGAATGATAGTCAAATGATAGAAAGTACACTATTGACTTTTGTCCAGTCCGGTCCCTCGGTGTCTTCGGTTGTTCGGGGGACTTTTTGCACGCAGGACTTTTATACCTCGTGTGCGATACTCGATTCAGTTGTAAGCAATCTATTTTGGCGGACAAAACCTAGGTCAAAAGGCGGACCTCGTCTGTGCAGGCTGTTAAAGAACTATAAAAAAGAAAATTGATAAAAAAACTATCGTCTTATATCCATATTTTGCTTTGTTAAGAGCACGACTTTCGCTTATTCTTTGTTGTAAATTCAAACTATATTTATACTATGGTAATGTTAGTCGTGTCTGAGGAGATAAGGATTATAATTTATTCAAATATACAAACTATCTTATTAAAAAATATACTATAACAATGAACCTAAAACTAAAAACCTTAAAAAATATAATATAATAACAAGATAAGATAAGGATTATAATTACAAGAGGGCAGTGTTATCACATAGCCTATACTTGGATAATGTGATTGTGATAAATGGAAACGATCAGTGTCTATGTACAAAATGTTTAATTTCGATAAATCTTATGGTCTTATTTTTCTGTAGATCCACGCATTGTATCTGGAGACTCGGGTGTATACAGATGGTTGGCCGTCACCGCACGTTTTGCTTCCAAAGTTGAGTATACCAACGATGTGGTTCTGGCCTTTTGTTTTGTACATCAGAGGACCTCCAGAGTCGCCGGAGCACGAGTCGTTATTCTTCACACCGCCTGCACATATCTGCCTGTACAATGGTAGATCAAGCGACGCAGTACAAACCTGCCAAAAAAAATATATGTTTTAGACCAGTGGTTCTTTAAGTGACAGACCATTTATCAAAGTTTCGGTCTTGCCACGAATCACCACTTATGATTTGCCCCTAGGATTTGTGAATCAATCAACGTTCTTCCTAATGTAATATGTTTTTCACTTGGGGTGCTTCCAGAGAACGGACCACCGGTCAAGAACCACTGTTCTAGGCGGATCTCCATCGTTTTTTGTCAAAAGTACCCTAGCCGAAATCTCCCATCGATGCATGAAAAAAACGGTCAAAACGGTTTTTAGCATACAAGACGAAACTTCTTAGCAATCCATGGATTCACCGTGCGGGTGCCGGGTCCATCGTGTGGGGAGAGATAAACTCTGACCAGTTACTGGGATTTGCGACTTTAAACATAATGCTGTCTCTGTCTTCTTTTTAGAAAATAAAAGTGACAGCATACTTTTAAACCAGGTTTATCTTTAGATAACGTTTTGTAATAAGGCGGTTGTGGTTTCTTAAGATATTGTCGTTCCAAACAGGCGTATTTCAGTATTCATACAATTTGTTTGTAACGATTTTTTATAAGGAAACTCATCAGTTTAGTTTAGGTTTGAATGGAGGCAGGATATATCTCAGGATGTATCTTGGTATCAATCATTTACAAGAAGGTAGCTACAACTTACTACAGCAGTTAGGTGATTTCAGCGAGTGATGTACTCATATTAGAGTGCCCGTTTGAAGAAATATTATCCATTTTAGTGCCGTGGAATAACTAAGTAGGCTACGGGAGAGCGATATGTGTATTGCAAGCGTTTAAATAAGCTATGATGACCGCTTACCATAAAAAGTTTTCCTTTTTCATGTTTGTCACTTATTTTAAATTTAATAAATTACCGCCAAATCCACGAGGGGCAGATCAACTTTGAATTTGACATCAGACGCTGCCATCGAATCTGACATTCCCCAGCCAGCTGTAGTCAGTTTGGGGTTTGTTGATGTACCCACATCTTCTGGTTCCCCTAGTGGTAGACATATTGGCCGGATAAAATCTGCGAAGAGGAACTAGAATCAGTTATCCAGATAAGTAAACCACGTAGATCTCTGAAGGAAGAGTGGCTAAATTTTTATAAAAGGCCAGAGAAATGACTCCAACTACTTGGTGTTAAATGTCAGTGGAGTCCAGACGCGAAGATTTTCTTTATATACCCAATTCAAATAAACTGAGGAAGTATTTCTCATCATCATCACCCTATTAATGTCCTCGCTGTTGGGGCACAGGCCTACACTATGGGTGGAATAGGGAGATTGGGCCGTGGTCCAGTGCGGGTTGGTGGGTGCAAACCACTACAGGTGCAGCCGGGGCCAACGGCTTAACGTGCTTTCCGAAGCGCGAAGGAGCTCGAAATAATAAGCTTTTGGCCATCAATCCAATGAACGACCATTGCAATAGTTGCGCAACGCGCTTACCACACCTGCGCTATCGAGCTCCTCTGTTATATCTACAGAACAAAAATACCTCTCTATTCCAGGGGGAATTCATTCGTATTTTAACTACATTTACGCTGAAATTTAAGCAATGCGCAATCGCTATACTGGATATTCCATTGTCTGGGTAATGCCGATAATACAAAAAATAATAAATATAAATCAACCTGTACAAGCGCACTCTCAGTTCCTCACGCTTACGAACACATTGTCGTGTCACAATTATATTTTTAGCAATACACTGAAGTTGTTTACGCTTTGACTTCTCATCAAAGTGGTTTACTTTTTAACCGACTTCAAAAAGCAGGAGGTGTTCAATTCGGTCGCTACTGATCCGATTTTTGGGTTTTTTTTGATGCGAAATAGTTGCCATTTAGTCCCATTAAAATTTAATCCAATTTGGTTCAGTGGTTTTTATTGTAATTTGTTACTTGGATGATATAATTTTCACAATACTTTGCTTATATTATGTACACCGATTACCTTTCCTGTAACCTTTCTGTTTAGTTCCATAAAAAAAATGTGAGCCATTTTGTTGATTGTTTACTTGGATAAAGTAATTTCCACTAAAATTTATAAAATGAAAATTATTTTTAAACAAAAATTATAAAGTAAGAAATAATCATGAAGGTTCATGATTTGGAAGTCGGGCGGGTCCAAGATTGAAACATGGAATAGATTTTCATTTCTAATCGGTAAATACGTGATTTAATCTTGACCCCGTCCAACTTCCAAATAATGAACCACATATTATTTCTTACTTTTTAGTACTATTTTCGATTTAAAAGTCGATTTAATAGATATAAGCTATAAAAATATCATAAATCTGAAGAGCTTGTTTGATTTTTTGTTTCGTTCAACTCGCTAATCTCAAGAACTACTGGTCAGATTTGAATAACTCTTTTTGTACTGTGTAATAATGCATATATTGAGGAAAGCGATAAGTTATATAACTAAACGCTACGACCAATAGGAGCGGAGTACCATTGAAAAATGTTGCAAAAATGAGAAAAAGCATTCCATTTATGAGCTTCCGCTGCGTGTGCAGCGTGAACGGTAAATAAAAGTTACAGAAAAATCATGTATAAACAGAATGGTTCCCCTTTCATGTATAACAGAAAAGTTATAAAAATGTCCGGGATGCAAATATCTATCTTTTAAGGGTGACCTTATATAACCTTTTTCCTTAAATTAGGGCACCTCTAGTTATGAATATTAGTGAAACTTACCTGTATACGGTACTGATTTTTCTAATCTTATTAATGATATGTCGTTTCTATAGGCTCTGTCTGTGGGATCGTATTTATGGTGGTTCAAAATATACTCGATTTTTATTGTCACCGGATCTTCAGCACAATCTTTGTCATAAATGCAGTCCGTAGTTGTGTTTCTGTTATATTCTCCAAGAGTGACGCTGATACTGGAAATAGTGAATTAGAATTACTCAAAATAATCATCAAACATAGGTGTCATTCGGAACCACTGGCTTCGGTCCCGAATGCCGCCTCAAAATAATTTATTAATTCCATGTCCCCATCAGGACCAGTGGTCCCGGTCCTAAATGACTGCGACTGTCTTGCGAATCCGAGATGTTTGATAGGTTGTTATATATATATCTTATAATGTACTTAAGAAAAAAAAACTATTTTTTTACATGACTCAGTACCTCTTCACCACCCCTGGACCTCTGAAATTTAAAATTTTGGATTTGATATCAAATTCGGATTCAGAAAAAAAACATCGATGTTTTAGGTGACTCTGACCCCCGCCCCCAATCCCCGCCGTGGGTTCCCTGGGTGGACCGCAATCCCAAATCTGACCTTAGATTCGGATTTAGCGACCACAAATTACTACATGACCGAGTTTCTAGGCTTGGATCAGAAAATAAAAAAACATTTTTTGCAGACACGAACCACGTTATAGAGTCCAAACATGTACGAGTATGATAGTAAACTATCAAGTACAATATTTAAAAAGGAGCACTTTAGATTTTTTCTTTTCTTCAAATAATATTACAATAAAGAGGTTTTATTAATTCGACGATGTATTGGCATGTATTTGAAGCATCCGGCCATGATTATATACGTTTTTTAATCTTAAATACTATCTAACCAATTGATTTCTGATTCTTACCCATTTGGCCGATAATCTATTTCAAAATGTCAAAATTTTCATCTACAAAGAATGCGTTAGAATAGCACTTAGGAATTATTAATGGTGATCGCACATTTTTCAGCAACGTACGTGCCGCATTTAAATTCGTTATATGCATTTCATATGATTGAAACCTCGCACATGTCTGACCGCACCGTACGCGCCGCATTCTAGCCGACGACCTCCGTGACCGAGTGGTTTGTACGCCGGGTTTCATGGTGTCGCCGACTCGAGAGGTCCCGAGTTCGAATCCCGGTGGAGGCAGATGTTTGTGTGATGAATACGAGCATTTGTACTCCATTCATAGATGTTTAATATGTATTTCTATATAAATATACTTATATATGTATTCTATCCGTTACCCTAGTATCCCATAACACAAGCCTTTCAGTGCTTACTTTGGGGTTAGGCTAATTGGTGTGAGTGTCGGAGAATATTTATTATTATTTATTTATTAAGTCTATAATTAATGAAATCGTGTACTGAGTGGTACGTTCGGAGAGTGCGGCGCGTACGTGTTGACAAATGTGCGATGAGCTTGATAGATGCTTCGCTACGTTTTCAGTTCGCAGCAGGATACTTACGGTACGGTTATAGTGCAGTGTGCAGCCGTCAACACGTATTTGCTGCTGATCAGGGAACCAGCGCACAGCCTCTTCTGATTCTGATAGTTCAGTATTGCTAGCCACGGTTGTTCTGGTGATAATTAACTGTGAGTTAGGTTGCGGCAAGCCCCTTTACCGGGGCCGCATTCTAATTACGTGTAATGTCTTAAGCATCATATACAAAAATAAAAAAAGCTACAACTCGCATGAAATGGTAAAAGTGTTGAAGATGCTTTAATGATTGCTTCTAGACACATTCTCTGTAAATAAAACAGTACAATCGAAAATATTTTCTGATTGCTTGTTATTCTTATTTATGGCTGCATGCATATAGATACTAGAACTTCGGAAGTAGAACTTTCATCCTTTGCGAGAATCAAGTGTCTTTTTACTTCGTTAGTTCTCTTTTATGCATTCTAAGTGTCATCTCCACCATAACTCCTTATTACCTTTGGATCAGCAGAGCAATGTATGAAGTGTAGTCCAACATTCATCATCACGTTTACCAGCCTATTATTGTCCCCACTGCTGGGGTACAGGCCTTCCCTATGGATGACCCTATTTTATCTATAGGGAAGGCCTGTGCCCAGATTGGGCCATGACCGACCATTGCGAAAGTTGCTTAACTTCCATTATCGCAGGCCGTACACGCTATTCATCTGAGCCAGCGAGCTCCATAAATTAAAAGTTCAATATTAATTAAGGTTAAACTTACCGATTATCTTGTTACCAGCTGTGGCTTCGATGCCGCAGCATAAAGTCTCTATGTCAGGTGGGAATGCTGTATTCATATTGATACAATTGCCTCTCACGATCGCTGGACGAGGCCACAAGCCGCAACAGACTACAAAGTAGCCTATCATGGACCTGTGAATTGTTTAAATACCTTTTTAAAAATAAATATTAAGTTAAAAATATAAGTAACCAGCTCGAAGGACCAAATAAAATTGTAGTATTTTTTAAAAGTTCATAAGAAGAGTGCAAAATTATTTTTAATGTACGAAACAATCCTTACGATTGTTGTTCTTATAGGGTTTTTTCCATGTTCAAATCAATATTATGATATAATAGCAACTGCATATTGCGAAAGTTCCGCCCGTAAATATGTGGATTTTTTTATACGCATGTTACTGATCATAGTTTTAATATACTTTGTTATTTATCTGTAAATTTTCCAAATAAAAAAAATAAATTTCATTGTTTCTGCTTGACCTAAATTATTAGCATAGCAGGTCACCGACAGAAGATATTATTAATCATTTACTCGTATACTCTTACGAAGAATATTTGTGATATTAGTAATTATGTAGCATTTTCAAGTACTTACTGTGAATTTAATGCGAAGTTTATATCTTGAGACCCTCCCCGCAATTCCAGGCAGTCTCCAATGTTGGCATATTGCCCAGGGATCCCATCTGGGGTATAGCATTCTGGTTCAGGGCAGCAAAACAAGTCCTAGAGGCAATGGCAGATATACACGTATTGCAATTAAATTAGATGCATTTTAATGAGATCTGAAGTTGAGAGTGGTAAGGCATAGCAGTCAGACATCAAGAAGTTAAATGCTTAAAAAAAAACTATAATTGGTATTTCTTCTTTCAAATGTTTCATACTTGTAAACGTATTCATTTGACATTGTGGGTTATCTGCAATGCGAAGAGATGGTGCTAACTTGCAGACTAAGAAATCCTAACAAAAAAATTAACAAGGACAATCTTTAGATTTAAACATAACTGCGAGGGTTAAATGCTTAAAAGAATAAAAGTATAACTAAAAAACTAAATAGGACGCAAATCTGAATGTAAATCGTGAGGTAATAACTGCAATGGTGGGTGCTAACAACTGCATGTGCTGAAAAGACCCGACCTGTCGTACTTCTTTTGGATTAAAATAGCGTCGAACTGTAAGTGTAAAAATATATCAGGGAAGGGACGCTTACAGGATATTATTCCTAAACTTAATCTAGCTAGGCTGATATTATGCCTCGATATAATTACTGTAAAACATACCGATTTCTCGGGGCATCTTGAATCCCACAAGTGCTGGTATACCTCACAGCTCTTATCTGGCTGCGTTGCGAATTTGTTGAGTATGTTACAATCCTGTATTCTTTTGCACACTCCATCGTCGCCTAATGGGGTATAGCATTCTGGTTCAGGGCAGCAAAAGAAGTCCTAGAGGCAAAGGCAGATATACACGTATTGCAATTAAATTACTTAGATGCATTTTAATGAGATCTGAAGTTGAGAGTGGTAAGGCATAGCAGTCAGACATCTAGAATTTAAATGCTTAAAAAATATATAAATATAATTGGTATTTCTTCTTTCAAATGTTTCGTACTTGTAAACGTATTCATTTGACATTGTGGGTTATCTACAATGCGAAGAGATGGTGCTAACTTGCAGACTAAGAAATACTAAAAAGAAATTAACAAGGACAATCTTTAGATTTAAACATAACTGTGAGGGTTAAATGCTTAAAAGAATAAAAGTATAACTAAAAAACTAATTAGGACGCAAATCTGAATGTAAATCGTGAGGTAACGACTGCAATGGTGGGTGCTAACAACTGCATGTGCTGAAAAGACCCGACCTGTCGTACTTCTTTTGGATTAAAATAGCGTCGAACTGTAAGTGTAAAAATATATCAGGGAAGGGACGCTTACAGGATATTATTCCTAAACTTAATCTAGCTAGGCTGATATTATGCCTCGATATAATTACTGTAAAACATACCGATTTCTCGGGGCATCTTGAATCCCACAAGTGCTTGTATTCCTCACAGCTCTTATCTGGCTTCATTGCGATATTGTTGAGTTTGGGACAATCCTGATATCTTTGGCACACTCCATCCTCGCCTAATGGGGTTTTGCACCTATCTGGAAATATATATTTCTGATGTTTTTACGCACACAGTTCATTAAATAAAACTATTTTTAAGCGAGTTTAAAATGCGTTTTTAATACTTTTTTACATAACTCTTAAGTTTCGCTTCCTTTTAAGGATAGTATGATTTTTAAATAACTTTGACGAGCTATCTTCGAAAGACTTTTACTCAACGTGAGAATACTTCATTGAAAGATTTTTATTAAAATTTTGATTGTCTATGAATGAATTAATTTATTTGGCCATTTAATCATAAGGCGTGACGACTCTGTAAATAATACAGGGAGAAAAAAACAGCCTTTGCGACAGATTACTACACATAAATCACTCCTTTACAATAGTTAAAATACCTACGTCGTGATTGTATTATTTCTAAGAATGTTATAAACATACTAGCTGACTCGGCGAACTTCGTACCGCCCAAAAGTAATAATATGCAAAATATTGGTAAATATACGCAGTGATTGGCCCTGTTGCATTTATACTAAAATATAAAGAATACTAAACATGGTAATTTTTCATTATTCTTTGATAACCTTTCCGTATTTTGCAGTAAAAAAATTAAATCTTTTGTGGCATTTTTTTTTGAAAATACATAGTTATCATTTCATTGTCGCCGTTTCGCACATGCAACTAAAAGGCAGGCAATAAGGGATAACTGATTGTTTCATTTTATCGACATAATTACTAAAATATAACTAAAGCATAGATAAAAATTGTATTATAGCATTGTGGAATTCAATAGAAAACTTATAATGATTTAGATAAACAAATGAAGAAGTCCACTTAAAGGGCAAATATTATATCACAAGCTCCACTAACTTTGGGACTCATTGGAAATTCAATAAATACGTACTTGAATTTTGAGCGTTAACCACTGCACATAGTAGTAATGTGACCCACAGAATCCATGATCGACGCATAGGTAACTTCACTGTTTTCATTTCAATTCCTGTACGAGTTAGTGCATCAATTCAAACGCTACTACGACATATGAGCTGGGTGACAAGTTGCCGCTTATATATTAACTTAGTTGTCATGAGTACATAATTATGTGACGTGTATGATTCACTGATACGAACCTGCGTAGCTGCACTCGGTTTAGTTATTTTCGGATTGCAATCCCCGACTTGCTCGATGGCGCAAGTGGTTAGCGCGTTCGGCTGCGATCGTTGAACTTAAGCAACTTTCGCAGTGGTCGGTCATTGGATTGGATCGGTTTGACCAAAAATTTACTATCTCGAGCTCCTCCGTGCTTCGGAAGGCACGTTAAGCCGTTGGTCCCGGCTGCATCTGCAGTCGTTAGCACCCACCAACCCGCACTGGGCCCGCGTGGTGGGTCATGGCCCAATCTCCCTATTCCATCCATAGGGAAGGCCTGTGCCCCAACAGTGGGGACATTAATAGCCTGATGATGATGATGAATCCCCGACTAGGAAAGTGAGCCTCACCAACAGAAGACTAAAATAATAAAACGCCATCTACTTATACTTTAGATGGTGTTTCGTGTAAGAAGGTTAAAGATAGGTAGAGCGGGCGGTAGCGGCTTTTCCGCTCCAATTGGAGCGCCAGTCTGGAGGAGTAACCTCCATCTTACAAAAGACCAATGTTAAATAACACTGCGTTTTGATGGTTTGTTTCTGTCGGTAAGTAAGGCCCAGGGCTCCATGGGGTAGGGGATTGGGTCAGGATATATAATGTTAAGGTAAAGGGGTAAAGGGAGTGATATTTTTGGTATCGCAAGCGTCTATAGGCTACGTTGGCCGCCTACCATGTGGCAGGCTATATGCCTGTTTGTGGCAAATAAGAGTTCAAAGGTAGGGAAGGGACAGAGAATTTATATCCTGTTATCTTAGGCTGTGATTGCTTACCAACATCAACTTCAGTAGGATTTAAGATGCTTGTAGAACTAAATAATGTAATAAAGGCCAGAATAAAAACAGTTTCTGTCAAATTAATAACAACAATAATGGGTTTATTCCTTTACCCGGCAACTGGAGTTGAGCTAAATATCATTCACAAATTTTACAGAAGACTACAGTTAATATTCACCGTGAATTTTGAGTTATTTTTTATCTTTGTCCTATTTTATCGAGTTATCTTTATTATCTAATTCAGACAAAGATTTAATGTTTAATTGTTTTTTTCGAAAAAGTGACACGTTTTCTTAATAATTTTGCAATTATGGAACTTAAAGGTTGATTGGTGTGTAGTCTACACATTGTGTAGACTACGCATAGGTATAATAATATCTTTCCCTTCTTAATAACTTTGGATATGTATGATTAAGGAATATTGCTGATAATATGAGGAGATTGATAGCGCATTCGGCCTGCTATCGTGGTAGTTAAGCAGCTTGTGCAATGATCAGTCATTGGATGGGTGACCAAAAAAATTTTATCTCGAGCTCCTACCTGCCTCAAAATGCACGTTAAACCGTTGGTACCGGCTGCATCTGCAGACGTTAGGACCCACCAATCGCAATGGGCCCGCGTGGTAGATCACGGTTCAATCTCCCAATTCCATGCTTAGGGTAGGCCTGTGCTCCAGCAGTGTGGTCATTAATAGCCTGGTGATGATGACGATAATAGTATAATGATATTTTTTTTTGTTTCAGGTGCTACCAAAGAAATAGGAACAGCCTTGACAAGGGTGTGCCTGCGTCACCGAGCCATCGAAACAAGGATGAAGACTTTTATAAGGTATATTTTATATAAATATTATATACTTTTATATAAACAAGGATGACGAGTTTATCAAGCCCTTTTGTACCAACCTATACAGTATACTTATGTAGGAAGGCCAAAGGGAAAATCTTCCTTCGAGCTGAGTGATGGTAGCTCGGGGGCCGCGGCTCGACTGATGTGGATCTGGCATTGTATATATGAAGTGTTAGACATCAAATTTCTATTGCTTGATGCAGGCTTCCATTTTTGAATACAGCGGCAGTGCCACCTGTTGTTATGGAGCGTCAAGTCTGTTTCCTTAATTAATAATAATAATAAATATTTCCAACACTCACATCAATTAGCCTAGCCCCAAAGTAAGCACTGTAAGGCTTGTGTTATGGGATACTAGGGTAACGGATAGAATACATATATAGTACATATATAAGTATATTTATATAGAAATACATATTAAACATCCATGACTCGAGTACAAATGCTCGTATTCATCACACAAACATCTGTCCGCCACCGGGATTCGAACCCGGGACCTCTCGAGTCGGAGAGATTATATAATTATATCTGGAGCATGTAGATGACGCCGCCACACTTACTGCTCGGCTGTTTACTAAAGCTGTTACTGCAGCACTCAGATCGGTCAGTTAAAATTCATTCTTGTTTAATTTCTCTAAAAGACATGCTGTCTTATTATATTGTTTTCCGGAAAGAAAGTGACGTATATACTTAAATAAATTCTGGCGCGCCGGACTACTTCATGTTTGCATACTTCACCCCTACTTCATGTTTTTATTTGTATGGAGGTGTGTAAGTTTACCATTTCTAACTATTCGCACTACTTTTTTTTACTCGACTTTAAGTTCCTCAGGTAACTAAATTCACAGTGTATATAGATGAAAATATAAAAACAATATGTCTTTAGAACCGATTTTAACTCATCATCATTCCTTCCAGTGCGCTAATGGATACTCTAATTACTCCACTATCGGAGCGCGCCGAAGAGTGGCGTCGCGGTTGCGCGTCTGGCGCTCTGAGCCGTGACCACGCACGTGAGTGCAAACGTGCGCGAGCAGAACTTCGTAGAAGAGTGCACGACGCACAAAGACATGCGAGGAAAGCAAGGCGGGCGCCACCGGACGCGAAGCGACGCGCCGATGTGTGCATACAGGTTAGTTGAAGCAATACTGCGATTTAGGAGCAGATCATCCATGTGGTGATTATGACTGTGAGTAAAAACGTGCATGAGCTGAATCGCATAGGACAGAGAATGACGCTCAGAAACGCCAAGAAAGCGAGGTCGGTGAAGCCCTACCGGACGCGAAGCGATGCGCCGATGTGTGCATACAAGTTAATAGTTGATACAATATCATTAATTGACCAAGTGGTGAACATGCGCACTCAGGACTGCTTAGGAGAGTACACAATTCGCAGACATAGCAGGAGAGAGCACCCCGGGACACGATGTGACGCGCTGATGTGTTACAGGTTTTTGCTTTTCAACAGCTTTTAGAGATCTGAAGCCAATTATCCGAGTGACAGTTCGTTGCTAGATATTACGATAGAGTTAGCAACTAGAGTTACTCTATTGCGGAGCAGAGGGTAGCTGTCTATAGTAGATGAGCTCAGTCTATTAAACCACAAGAGCTTTTCGTAATGTTCTGGCTTGTAGCCCTTTTAGAATATTGCTGACACAGGTCTGGTGACGCTATATGAATATATTTATCTGCTTGCGACAAACAGCATACACTTCTTTCGTTGCACAGGTATAGAGTTCTAACCGAATCTTGCGATATTTATGATAGCACTTTACGTGTCTGTTTGTATGCTCTATCTACTACGCGTTCGCTTCGAGTTGGCCAGAGTTGAACTCTCGCCGCCTCACCTCACCGCGCTTCCAGACAGACCCTATAAGTGAACCCTATTGGTCGAAGGTACCAGTTTATGGTTGGCCTATGACACAATTTGTAACGGTCATCGACGGCCAACTCGAAGCATACGGATAGTATAGGGCACGAAAAGGTGAAGCTGCAGTCTAATACACAAACAGGAATTACGAATAGCCAAGTGCTGGTGTTACTCATAGTAGTTCCAAGTTCTGATATTTGTGATGATTTCAGGACGTGCAAGAACGCAAGCAGCAGTTAGAGGAGATGGAAGAAAAGGCTGTAAAGGCCGCGTTGGTGGAAGAGCGCAGCCGCTTCTGCCACTTCGTGTCTCTTCTCAACCCTGTTGTGGTGAGTACGGTAGACGATGTTCTTTTATCATCATCATTATCAACATATCATTAATATCCCCACTGATGGTCTGAGGTCGTCCCTATGGATGGAACAGGGAGATTGACCCATGACCACGCAAGCCCAGTTGGGATTGCTAACTGCTAACGACTGCAAATGCAGCCGAGACCAATGGCTTAACGTGCCTTCCGAAGCACGGAGGAGCTTGAGATAATAAGGTTTTGGTCACCAGTCCAATAACCAACCATTGTGGAAATTGTTTTACTTCAACGATCGCAGCCGAAGATGCCAACTACTTGCGCCATCGAGCTCCTCAATGAAGAATGAATGATGTTACCTACAATGCGAAGAGATGGCGCTGCCTTGTAGCATAAGGCTAGAGAAAATTCGACACGGCCGTTTGGGTCGCGGTAGTTTAATAGTCAGTGCATTCGCCCGGATTGCGAAGGGTGTGGGTTCGAGTCCCGACCGCTGCCTGGTCCGCGTGGATTTTTTTCTAGTAATCTTTTCTTTAGATTTAAACAGACAGTAGTTAAATGCTTAAAAAATAAAAACATAATGAATGATGTGCTTTACTTTTACAATATATTTATGAACAGCGGAAGGTCACACGTTTATGCATTCACTGTCTAATTTCGATGAAAGCTTGATACGTGATTAAGCAAAAGAAAAAATCCCCCTTGATGGAATGGAATTTGTAAATTTTCTGGATGCTAACGCCAAATTATTCCCTGGTAGTTTGGTACGGATCGGCTGCCACCATCTGTACCCTTAGTACGAGTTGGAGCTCACGAAAACTATAATAGTTTTCGTAATTGTTAATTATGTTATATATATTATATTTTATATAATATATATAATGTTATTTCTATTTTATTTTGTTTTATATTTTGCTGTCACATTACTCTTCTATCTCTGTTAAACTATCCTTCGACTTAAAGGTTGTCTGGAAGAGATCGCTTTCAGCGATAAGACCGCCTTTACCCACCATAGTTGACTATCTGTTTTGTAAACCCTTTAATTTTGTATGTGTGTGTAATAAAGTGTTTATCTATCTATCTATGTTTCTATGTCCATTTTGGTAAAAAAAAAACTATTTAAAAACCACAATAAAATATCATTAGTTCCACAACGCTACTACGTACCGCGAGTATTAACGGCAACGGTTTCTGAGTCGCGCTAACGTTACGTTTTTATAAAAAGTATATAAGCTCTTGAAAAGATTGGCGGTTATACTGCATCATCTCTTTCTCAGAGGAAGATTGTAAGGCCCTTCTGGTCATAAGCATGAACTACGAGTGTGTTTTAGACAGTAAGAGTCTGACATAAACTTGCAGCCGGCTGCAGGGTATCCATGAGGATTTCACATCCTACTCAAATAAATATATTGTGGTAACTACAGGCAACTATGGAACCCTATACTGCGCGTGGTAGGATAAGTCTTGGCCGGTTTTATTAAGTAGATAAGTAATAAGAAAGAATTTTGTTTTTTTTTCTCTAAGTGTGTCAAAAAAGGGTTGTAAGTTTGTATGATTTTATTTTTGTTATAAAGTCGATTAACATAAAATTTTTGGCAAAAACACTAAAATTAAAGTGATTGAGAATTTAACTCACTCACTCATCAATATAGAGACATTTGTCTTTACTGGTTTCACTTTCGCCAAACTTACCCGTGATTCCGACAAGCACCAGAGTAGACATTGTACGAGTCACGTACAGTAATCTAATCTAATTAATAATAAAATCTAATTAATTGATATAATTTTTGAAACAAGTCCTCCTGAGGGAGGACGAACATTATTGTTGTGAGCATATATAAAATCAAATCAATTAATTTAACATTTAAACCAATCAATTAAACCAATGGGGAGACATCGACTGATATATATATCATTGAGGAGACATCCTTTATTTATAATATCTTTTTGTTTTTTTTTATCAATTGTAACTTGTAGCAAACAAAGCTACATTACAAATCAATGAATGTAGCATATAAGTATCAATTATAGCATTGTGGAGACATCCACTGATATCATTTTTATCATTTTGTAGCATTAAGGAGACTTGCTATAATTATCATATCAACCAATTCTATTTTGTTATCAATCGTAACTTGTAGCAGACATTATACGTTACAAATCAATTAATATAGCTTTGTTGAGTATCAATTAATACATTGTGGAGACATTTTTGTTAGCTCTATCATACGAGTCAACTATCATTTCTTGTATTAAGTATCATTTAAGAAAGAGAATGTAATTGTGTTACACAAATATCATATTCATTATTTGAGCATTTTTTATTCATTAAAACTGTGAAGACTTCCACCGAATATCATTTTCAATATCAATTAATTTAGCAATTTTAACGTTGTGGGAACACTACTTAACATAGCATTATATTAGCATTTTTTATCAATTAAAACATTGTGGACACATCCACTGATATCATTCTTATCAATCATTAATTCTAGGGAGCACCCTAGATTAGATCATTTTGCCACAAGCAAGGTCCAGAAAATCTGGTAAGACTAGGTTTGTGGTAAAACTAGGTTTGTAGCAAAACATTGCTATTTCATATATCATAAAAGTATGCAACAGGCATATAAATAATTTATTATAATATCAATCAATCAAAACAGCAAAAATATGCTGTAATTCGGTTATAATATCTTTAGGTCAAACCTACAAACTAAAACTAAACTGAGATTAACATTATGAAAATTTAGCATAACACGTAAAAATAATGTGTGTCACGTTAGTACGGGTAAACTGATAGATCAGCAACCTAGTGTACAACTCAATGTAGTAATTATGTAATGAAATATAATACCTTACTAAATCATATGAAAAGGCTACTTTCTTAGTAAATGTAGTTGTTAACATTATTTGTTACATCATACTGTATCAAAATTGTAAACTTATGTACTCTTGAAATGTGAAAGGATATAGGTATTAGTTGAAATTTTGAGTCAATTATTGTTTTAAAAAAAAGTTTCATCAAATTCGAAGCATCAAAAAACTATGTCTATTAAAAATTATTATTATATCAAAATTTACGATTAGTGAAAACAATTAAGTAAATAAATAGGAGCCTACCTAGGATACACAGGTATAACTAATAATTTGTAATCGTAACGTCTTCTTCTACTTTAATCACGTAGCTGTATCTAAGAAATGCATCACAATACATCATTGTTCTATGTATATAAAAACTAATATATATAATACATAATAAATCAATGCTCGTCATGAATTCAACAGTAACAGTTGTCTTTCTTCCTTTATCCTAATATCATTAGGTAAAGGGTCACCCCTACAGACATTATAAAATCACCTGTTCTATCGCGATATAATGAAGTTCAAGAACTAACATGGGAACTCATTTACGAGGTGGTGATACAATATTTTCAGATCGGCTATTGCAAGTCAGGATGGTCTCATTGAAATTCATGATATAGGAACAATCATTGATACCCTTGGCCAATTGATATACATTGTTTATTTAGATGTTGAAAATATGAACAAAACTTTACTTTTCCTTGCGAAAGAGCTATCCTGTCGCCAAGTAACGCCTCAGCTGATCAAATATATAATCAAATTTTGAATAAAGTTCACGACGAGGATTATTTTTTAAATCATTAGATATAGCAATTAATGAAGAAGACGTAATTCACTAAACGACGGTGTTTCTGAATCCACTTAACCCTTTAGGTCTTCCATCACACGTACCTACATAAATGATAAATTTAAAATCCTATTATTTTGCTCAGGAACATAAGTACCTCCTTATTTATGTAACGGAACTCGACGAACTCGATTCCAAGTTTAAGAACTTAAACCGAATATTATTGAAACTATAATTCTCACAGACCCAGCTGCATAGCAAATTCCCCTCTTACTTGCATACTTATATTTCCAACAAATCTACTTTTTCAATTTAAAAGACTTCTTTTTCCTGTTACAGTTTCCTTTGCTCTTACTATAAATAAATCGCAAGGCCAAACATGCATTGGAATTGACCTGCGGGAGGATTGATATTTTCATGGACAACTTTACGCTGTATCTCGATCCAGTCTGTACCAAAAGTATAATTTACGCAGAAATACTATTGCCCCTACCTCTATATACACGAACTTTATTGTATAAAAACTTTATCACCCATTTGAACCCCTTGGGATGTCCACTATCCTGCATAGTTTTGAAATTCACCTACACCTATCTAAATGGAAAGTCACTAAGCTTACCTTTGCGAGGACAATTTGTGTCCAAGTGAAATTATATTAGCATAAAGGCTATTTAATATTGCATTCTTGTTATTGAGGTAGCTGCTGCTGTAGAAAAATGTACCGCTCCAGACATGCTTCACCGTGCTGTTTGCTTGTCTCGCGCAGGATTGTGAAGTGGCGATGTTAGCGGAGGTGGGCCACTTGCAGGAGGGCAGCGAGCAACTAGTGCGACACACCGCTGAGCCGAGGACATTACCAGCTGCCAGTTTACAGGTAAACATTTACCATCTTTTTAGAAATTACCGGAATTGCTACCATGTAGGTACTTTGCTTTTTGCGAGTCCCCGATATTTTAACACTTGCGATTGTCTTACTTACGATTAACACTTGCGAAAATAAAATAAATTTATTTCGAGCAACATAACTCATAATCATTACTATAGAAATAAATACATGTCACTAAAATATAACTAATCATTTATTTAATTTAAAATTCATTGAAAACAGATTTTCTTTAATTTAGTTGAAATCGATCTTGATACACATCATCATGGAAATTTAATAACAGACGTAACGAGAATTAAAAATCTTCCAGACAAAAAGTTTTTGTTATTTGACGCGTACATAAATGAATTCGAATAGTTTGCGAGCCCGGAATTTCATTGGCAAATTTTGTATGGAAATACCGGACGTAACTAGACCTAAAAATCTGTACAAATTTGACAATGACATTTCGGACTCGCAAATATTCGAATTCGATAATGGTTCGTACTAAGGGTACTGGTCACAGATTTTATATTATAGTAATGAGCACAATTGCCACAATGTCCCTTGTTTTTAGCGAAATCCGGATATTTTGGCACTGTTGCTGTTGTTATAACTACGGAGTAACTTTAGGTTTCGCCGGTGTATTTTAGTCCGGACTTAACTTTAGTCAACGTTTTGTAATAAAGCGGTAACATAAACTGATTTAACAGCGGATATATCTTATTTCTGTGTACAGTTCAATTGATTTGACCAATATTGTATAATATTTTGGTCACTCATCCTAATGGAGGCCATACACATTAGGTTTTGCATGATGGTTTTAGCCGAACATGCATAACCGACAGGCAAGTCCTTACGTGTATGTGATAAAACTGTACAGTTTTCGGTGCATGTAACTCGGTTATGAATGCACGCTTAAAACCATCATGCAAAACCTAACGTGTATTGCCTCCATAAGACTGGTCAATGCGAAGATTGCTTAACTTCTACGATTGCAGATCGCCTATCACTTACACCGTCGAGCTCATTGTACTTAAATAAAGTTCGTTATTCGTTTGTCGTTATTCGTTTGTCGCTATTATACCGTTGACGCAACGAATTAGAAATGATGTGGAATATGAACTGCCCTAAAATTGGTACCACACAAACTGCACTCAAGTGGGCGGGGCGCAAAAATTGCGGTCAACTCGCCGATCATTGGATCGGTCGGATTTTCCGTTTAGCATTGTCTAACGCAATAAATGGATACCCTTATTTATTTGCAGATATTTGATTTGTTAAAATATTTCGTTGTCTGTGTGCGTGTCGCGTTAGTATTGCAGTTTAGTTGTATGAGTTTGGCACCATCTATTAGCGACTTTTGCTGGAGAGTAATGCTTCCATATAATTTCTAATTCGTTGTGTTAATTTTGTCAGGTTATCTGCAGCGGCCTTTGTTAAAGAGTAATGCTTCCATATAATTTCTGATTCGTTGTGTTAATGTTGTCAGGTTATTTGCAGCGGTTTTTCGTAGCGTTTAATGCTTCCATATAATTTCTAATTCGTTGTGTTAATGTTGTCAGATTATTTGCAGCGGATTTTCGTAGCGTTTAATGCTTCCATATAATTTCTAATTCGTTCTGTTATTACTGTCAGGTTATCTGCAGCAGCCTTTGTTAGAGAGTAATGTTTCCATATATTTTCTCATTAGTTGTGTTAATGTTGTCAGGTTATTTGCAGCGGTTTTTGTTATCGTTTTTTTGCTTCCATATAATTTCTAATTCGTTGTGTTAATGTTGACAGGTTATCTGCAGCGGTTTTTGTTGGCGTTTAATGCTTCCATATAATTTCTAATTCGTTCTGTTAATACTGTCAGGTTATCTGCAGCAGCCTTTGTTAGAGAGTAATGTTTCCATATATTTTCTCATTCATTGTGTTAATGTTGTCAGGTTATTTGCAGCGGTTTTTGTTATCGTTTTTTTGCTTCCATATAATTTCTAATTCGTTGTGTTAATGTTGACAGGTTATCTGCAGCGGTTTTTGTTGGCGTTTAATGCTTCCATATAATTTCTAATTCGTTCTGTTAATACTGTCAGGTTATCTGCAGCAGCCTTTGTTAGAGAGTAATGTTTCCATATATTTTCTCATTCATTGTGTTAATGTTGTCAGGTTATTTGCAGCGGTTTTTGTTATCGTTCTTTTGCTTCCATATAATTTCTAATTCGTTGTGTTAATGTTGTCAGATTATTTGCAGCGGATTTTCGTAGCGTTTAATGCTTCCATATAATTTCTAATTCGTTCTGTTATTACTGTCAGGTTATCTGCAGCAGCCTTTGTTAGAGAGTAATGTTTCCATATATTTTCTCATTAGTTGTGTTAATGTTGTCAGGTTATTTGCAGCGGTTTTTGTTATCGTTTTTTTGCTTCCATATAATTTCTAATTCGTTGTGTTAATGTTGACAGGTTATCTGCAGCGGTTTTTGTTGGCGTTTAATGCTTCCATATAATTTCTAATTCGTTCTGTTAATACTGTCAGGTTATCTGCAGCAGCCTTTGTTAGAGAGTAATGTTTCCATATATTTTCTCATTCATTGTGTTAATGTTGTCAGGTTATTTGCAGCGGTTTTTGTTATCGTTCTTTTGCTTCCATATAATTTCTAATTCGTTGTGTTAATGTTGTCAGATTATTTGCAGCGGATTTTCGTAGCGTTTAATGCTTCCATATAATTTCTAATTCGTTTGTCTTTCTTTCTTGTCAGGTTATCTGCGATATAAAGTCCTGCTACAGCGGTTGGGCGGAGACCGGATCGGCTCCGCATTCGCCATCGGCTTCGTCTAGACTCGGCAGCAGAAAATCCTCTCTCACCTCCATATCTTCACTGAATAGCCAGTGCAGCGATCAGCAACACGGTAAGGCTAAAGGCAGAAACATATTTGCGTGTCGTGACGCGCCAGAAGCATATCGGTATCATACATAATGTATGGTTAGAGACATATTTGTAGGTCGTGTCGTGTCGACAACTGAAATTGAAAACGATGTGCATTGCACTATAGTTTATGCCTATTCTTGTTTGCTATTTGTCATATTGACAACTTGTTGTCCTAATCACACTCTATATACAATGAAGAGACTTTTGTCAAGATTAAAAATAACCAACACGAATAGCCAAATGAAGTGCCGACATTAATCCTAAATGGTCATGTCAAATTTCCGGCAGCCTAGGAAATACTAGAAAGAATTCGACACGTCCGCATTCGATAGGGGCCGCATTAGCATAATTGTCAGTGAATCCGCGCGGATAGCGGAGAGTGCTGCCTGGACTGCGTTGACTTTTTTGTAGTAAAATTTTATTAGATAATAATCTATTTTCTTCCCTTTGTTTTATAGGCGTATCAGGTTCCACAGTGAGTTGTTCCACGCCAATATCGAACGCCTCATCAGCGGGCACTTTACCCGCGCCCGGGGGCGAATCCTGTCTGTCGCAGGTAAGTCATTAATCATCATCATCATCAGCCTGTTGATGTTCCCACTGCTGGGGCACAGGCCTTCCCTATGGATTTAATAGGGAGACTGGGCTTGGTGGGTGATAACGACTGCAGATGCAGCCGATATTAACGGCTCAACGTGCCTAAAGAAGCACGGAGGAGCTCAAAATAGTAAATTTTTGGTCACCCATCCAATGACTGACCAATGCGAAAGTTGGTTAACTTCAACGATTGCAGTCAAACGCACTAACCACTTACGCCATCAAGCTCCTCAGAAGTTATCCTACTAATAATATTAATGTGAAAGTTTGTGTGTTTGTTTCTCAATCACTCAAAAACAGCTAAACAGATTTGGATGAAATTTGCCCACGGAGATGGGAAATCTGTCATTTTTCCGACATAAAAGGTATCCTAAGTCTCAATCAATACAGGTCATAAACCGTATGAGTACTATATGCCCATGTCCTTCCCCGGGACTTAAACTGTCTCTGCACCAAATTTCATCCCAATCAGTTTATCGGTTTAAACGCAAAGACGTTACAGACAGACAGACACAATTTGGCATGGATTAGTACCTGGACTGAGACATAGGGGACTCAGGAGACTGAGGAGCTCGATGGCGCGGGTGATTAGCGCGATCGGCTGCGATCGTTGAAGTTAAGCAACTTTCGCAGTGGTCGGTCATTAGATGGTTGACCAAAATTCTTCTATCTCGAGTTCCTCCGTGCTTCGGAAGGCACGTTAAGCCTTTGGCCCCGGCTGCATCTGCAGTCGTTAGCACCCGCCAATCCGCACTGGACCCGCGTGGTGTGTCACGGCCCAATCTCCCTATTCCATTCATAGGGAAGGCCTGTGCCCCAGCAGTGGGGACATAAATAGGCTGACCATGAAGATAACTGAGACATAATATACTTTTTATCCCGTAAAAATATTATGTTCGCAGGTGGCCGCTAGTAATCATTTAATTAGTTAAGTTTATATTCGAGGTTGAACATATCTTGTTACTAAGGCTTGGATGCGGTTTCCGAACTGATATTCAATTATAATTGGTATGACGGCTACCTGTGTTTCCGCCTATGATACAAAAATGGTATCGTTTCGTTTCTTCTCCTCTTTCTTTCGCCTCTCACTATTAAACCGTCCCCTCCTCTCCCTGTCTTTCCTACCCATTCGACCTCCCTGGCTTCATCTCGACGCGGCCTCGGATTCCGATGGGCCTACTCTACCAACTATCGAATCCTCTACATCATTATATAACATAAACCATCATCATCACTATCAACAGCCTATCATAGTCCACTGCTGGACATAGACCTCTCCAAATGCACGCCACTCAGATCGATCTTAAGCTACTCGCATCCAGCTCCTGCCAGCCACCTTGCGCAAATCGTCACTCCATAAACCATCATCAACTTAAAATGTAATAAATAAATAAGTCTAAAAAATGGTATTGACGCGCTACCATTCGCTGTTTCTATTGAGAAACAGAGCTAATATCTGATATTAACCACGTTAAAAAAACGCGCTAAGTACACCTCAGAGGTGGCGTAGAAAAGTGTGCATATTATTTGAATCGTTATATCTCAGGAACGGTGGCTCTTAGGAAAAAACATATTGATACCTTTATTAAAGATGATTTTATAATATTGAATTTTTGTCTCAGTTAATTTTACGATAAAACTTGTTTTGATGCAATTTAAGGAAAACCCCACTTTTTGACCTTTGACCACGAGTAGGTAGGATATGATACGAACGAACAATGGGGAATTTTGAAGTGTTTTAATTTTTAATTAAGTTTTAAACAATTTTAATCCCTTCTAATCTAATTTGACTCCTGTCTTATTTGACTGGATTATTTGTTGTTTAAGTAAAAGCTGTATTGCATCATTTAATATGTACTCGTATTTTATATATTACTAGCGGCCGCCCGCGACTTGGTATGCGTGGAGTTAGTTATTCGTTGTTACAGAATGTGTTGAAGAAATAAAGGTTCACTGCTCGTTCCCCGTGGGTGATACCGTGATTATATGTAGCCTATATATTGACCCGACTTATTAAGTTTATCCCGGACATACATACAGACAAACAGACAAAAATTCTAAAAACTATATTTTTGGCTTCGGTATCGATTGTAGATCACACCCCAAGTGTTATTTAAAAAAAATATTCAATGTACAGTTTTGACTTTCCTACCATTTTATTTTATTTATTTATTTTGTACACACACACAACAATATATTTGAAGAAGGAGATACAAGAGATATGTACAAGGGCACTGCTTATTTCATTTTATGTATAGATTTTATTATACGTATAGATTTTTCTTATGTTCCTAGTGTGTTATTTTCTTAATTGTAATTTTGTTTCGTTTGGCGATCATAATTATGCAGCGCTGAGGCTCAAGCGAACTTTGACAGCTCTGTAATTTGTATCGCATCGTCAAAGTTTCTATGAAATCTAAGCAGTGCCCCTACCGGACTTTAGAACAAACTGGCTCCTTCCTTACAAAATTTGACGATAACCATACGATTACGGATCTTTTAAAGTTCGTGCATGGGTCTCTGGACTCTAATCTTCGCTCGCAGAACGCGTTTTAAACCAAGGGACGCTTTATAACAAGTTGGAGTCGTTACATACTAGTTAAAATGCGACACTTGAAAAATGCTTTCAGAGAATCACACATCTAAGCCTTAATTTATCTCAATGTTTTATGCTTTCAGAGAATCACGTATCAATCTTAGCAATAATTTATCTCAATGTTTTTTTATTACATATTCGACATCTAGTAGCTCAGAATAAGAACTAATGGCGCGATTGCACTTGGTAGCTATCCCTAATACGTGTGCCAATGGAATTCGGGTAAACGATTCAGTGTAAATGAACGGAGTCGAGTACGTCCGTATTCGGCTAGTTTTCCTACTGGTTACCCGACACCGTCTTCCAGCACGTATTCCAGTGTAAATATTGCTTCGTGCGCCCGAATTCGAGTAATGTCTTTCGGGCACCCGAACACGGGCTAACGACCAAGTGTAATATAAGCGCTCCAAAGAGCACGGACTGCTTAACGGCTTCTTCGCTTCGCACCCGTGAGACTTGCTAAGTGTGAGGTCCGTTCATTTTTGTGCCCCTTAAGGGCGCCAACGTCTGTAAATAGATGGATAGCCTGAGTAATAAAAAAAAGTGTATATTTAAAAATAACTGTATGAGTTGACTTTATGAGCAGAATTTAAATTAATTTTATGCTTTAGTTCTTGTTCTGAATTCAGTAGACTTTTAGTTTTATTTTTGTGATTTTGTAGTTTAAGGAAAAAGCTTTATTATTATTATTATTTTATTTTTCTTTGCGTTGTAATGTTGTAGTCAGCGTTTCGCTTGGCGAGCGTATGCAGTGCCGATTCCGGTTTCCGCTCGCAGGATGCGTTGCAACGTCGTTCGCTCTACGTTGATAATGTAATTGTGCACGTTTTCTGTTTTATTTAATTTTGTTTTTTTTTATAGTTTGCTTTTATTTTAATTTTGTTATTTTTGGTTGTAGTTTTTATTTGTAGGTATTTAAAATGGATTCGTCGATACAATTTCTACATTATTTTCAAAAATATGAATGGTACAACTGAACTTATTTCCTTTTGTTTTTACTAATAATGACTTTAATTTGTTATAATAAATTTATCTCTTGCCAATAAAAAGCAAATCGAACATGAATGACATAGAAAGATATTTTTTTTTCATAATGTGAGGGAAAGATTCAGCCACAAGCGGCTCATCTATACTAATATTTTAAAGAGGAAGGATTTAATTGTTTGTTTGTATGTTTGTTTGGTTGTATTGAATAGGCTCCGAAACTACTGGACCGATTTGAATAAATCTTACACTTTTAGAATCTTACATTATCCCTGATGAACGAAGGCTATAGAGTATTTTTTAAAAAGTTAGGGTTCCGTATGAAAAATTCTGTAATGTAACCCAGGGTGTGGAAAAAACACTAAAAAAATAACCTTTTATCGCTTACACTGCGGAAGTCATTGACAATAGAGCAAAGTGATGTACTCAAGTTTTATAGAGGACATAAATATCTACAAAAAAGTCCGCGATATCATATGTCTCACTATTATATATGTCACAATTAAAGGTTAATGCGGTTTCATTCGCGTTAATTTGAGGAAAAATGTTACAGTGTGTGAAACTTAAAAGCTGGGTATATGCTGTCGCGGACTTTTTTATAAAACTTTGGAAACGGTTGCAATTCCATCGTACATGATTTTTGTGTAACTTTAATCATTACTGACGTACAGGCACTAAATTCACCTCTAACTGTCTGTACCTTGTATTTGTTTAACAGCAATGTCGCATTACTGTAACATTACCCGTAAAACTGTCGCAGGGTTCAGACAATCAGAGCGTCAGTAGCGAATGTATTCACACCACGAAGAACATCGATGACGACCATTCGGAAGACACCGCGCTCGACGGGTTGGGCAATGCTGGTACGTAATCTATATTTATGAATAATAAATGAAATATAAAGGTACAAGTTGGTAGCCGTCTACACGCAGCAGCAGCAGACGACGTGTCATCGTTTCAAGCGGCCACGACATGTTGTTGCATCCTGTCGCTGTAGTCATGATTTCGAACCTGACTGCAGACGTCAACAGCAGATGGAATTCAATTGGTTTCAAGTGTTCCGTGAATCAAGATGGCTGACGTGTTCGAGAATATTGATCGCAAATTTTTATATCTTTTATTAGTTTATTCTAGAGTTTTGATTTTTTAGAATCGGAAAAAATCATTATTGTGTGTCTTTGCTCTGCGTTAACGGCACTACTGATCTGCGGTTGGGAGACACTGCCGTCTGTCGCTCGACGACGCGTCGCTAGCTTCATGTTGCTAACTACGGAATTGCATAGATATACATGGAATATACATGGAAACCAGTAGTGTCGCAGCGACACGTCGTTTTCTGCAGCTTCATGTTGTCCGCTACCAACTTATACCTTAACTCAAAATTTTAGATAAGTAAGATTGTGAAATTTTGGTTTCATTAGCTAATCACCCTATTAGGTAGAATATTAACAACATTGCTGGGGCATAGGCCATCCCTATTAATGGAATTGGAGTCCATAATCCAGAATGCGTGCCCAATGAGGATTTGTGGGAGCTGATTTCAATAATCCACTCATATAACTGGTCACTGTGAAAGTTGAATAACAATCCACGATCACAGACCGAATTCGCTGAATACTTGACCTATCGAACTCGTGTCCTCTAGAATAATATTTACGTTGATAATAATTCAAAAATAATATACATAAGAATGTGCAAAGGTCAATGCCCAGTTGGCCACCCAAGAATTCTGGTATCATACACTAGAAATTAATTTAAGAATGCAAATCATAAGTTACCGATTTCATATCTTCATCTTTTTTTCTGATATTTTGTAGGATGCGTGGAAAAGAATGAGGTTACAATAAAATTAAGAAAATTAAAAAATACGTAACTTATAAATTTGCCCGTTATGTGGTGATACAGTGGAGTTGAAGCCTCTGTGTGGCGAACCACACAGAGGCTTCAACTCGTGAATAATAACTCGTTCAAAGTATCAGACAGAACTCGAGCCTGCGTTTCCGCTATCCGGGCAGAAGAAATAGAAATTGCACTTCTTTCAAATGTTGAATGCTGTCATAAGGGCTGCGGTAGCATAATGGTCAGTGCATCCGTCCGGATAGCGGTTTCTTTAAAATGTTTATTTATTTTATGACAGCGTCGGCGACATGGCCTGACTTGAAGGACACAGCGCAGTTCGAGCGAGCTGCGACCGCCATCATGGGGGGACGGCCGCATACTATATCTGCCGGTATGTTTATATTTATATATACATATACAACGTGTAACAGAAATAACGCATACCCTGAAAGTGGTTTGGTTGAAATTTTCTTCTTAACAGATTTCAATAAGTAAGGGTATCTATAAACATCCAAAAATAATATTTGTCTTTAATTTAAACACACTCAGAAATATGATACATAAGTCAAAGTAATAAGGTCTATTTCTAATTTCAAATGTACATGAAATATTTTTTTCTAAAATTTATTGTATATCACTGGTTTAACTAAGAATAAAAATTACTGAAATTGATTATTTGTATATTTGTAATATACTACCTTCAGGGAGTTTATTTTTGATATACATTTTATGTACATGTATATGTTATTTAATAATAATGATTTGTCGAATGGCCCCTAACAACAAATCGTGACAGCTGTCAAAGTCACAAGAAAATTCCGATAGACTTGGGCTGAGTTCCAAACTGACGCTCCAGGTGTAAGTTTCATTCACATTTTATGTCAAAATCAACGATATAAATTACCCTAGATACACCACGTGTGCTTAAAATGTGTCCCAATCGAGAAGTGCTTGAACACCACTCAAGCACTTCTTGGTTCACAGTCACATGCGGACCGTTGAAAAGTCAAGATGCCGTGAAAAAATTCGAAACAATTACTTATGGTACGTAAAATGTCGTATTTTCGACAGACGACGACAAATCAATGTTTGTTAATTTAACACATTTAAGAGAATCTTGTTCTAAAATTTACTATAAACTGATTTAATAGGAAATATTTGTGATATTCAAGTGCATGGTCGGTAATATAGCCGTCTCTTTTTCTCCCGGTCCGTAGCTGCTGTATTAGTTACAGCGCATTGAGCATTCCGTGTAGAGTCAAAGAAATAAGGTCTATATTCTTCCGCATATAGCAATAAGTCGTGAAATTTTATGAGCCTGCATTTCGAACTGTCATAACTCTGACGCTTTCGTTTTAATTAAGACCTTAGACAGTTCCGGCATTAAAGGTGACTTTCACTGACAAAAAAATGCTTTAAATGTTTTTTGACTACGCGATCATCTTGTGGAATTCTGTGGATCGTCCAATATACCTATCGGACAGGCCACGATTTTGTGAGTGTTGATGTATATAGGGTATTTAATATCGTTGGTCAAAATTGAAACTTCAGGGTAAAAAGTCGCACTCAGAGCGTTAACTTAGAACGCAGCCTTGTAGTGACAGGTTGCTTGTTATGGCACCATGTTAAAGTGCCATCTGTAATGACCTAGGGAATTACAATTTTACCAGCTTTGTAGCGTACCTACATCCTCGCGCTTCCTACAGGCAGTTGCTGAAAATCGGGATTTTGTCTATTAAGGCAAAAACACTGCTGAACTTCTGCCTATTTGCATCACTATCAGTCACTAATGATTGTAGTTCATACTAGTTATTTAAGAACTGTTAAACTTATAATCATTTATGTCTGCTTATTATTAATTGTATTAATTTGTGATGCCAATAAATAAATAAATTGAATTGACCATTAAAGTAATCTTTCAATTAAAAACATGACATTGTGGGAATTGCCAGTGGAAAAAGGAAAAATTGCCCTTGCTGATTTTTTTGTCGGTTCTTCTCAGTACAAGAAACTGGCCTACAAGAGCTTGTAACTGCCTAGACTAATAAATTATTTTGAATTTGTATTTTCCGGTTGACTGGGTGAGATTTATATGTGTAAATAACACATGAAAAAAAAATATAAACCAAAACGAAATTGTCGTTCTTATTACGGTCATAAGACGTCTATTAACTTTTACTTAAGATCAACGCACATCCGTCACTCTGAGTTCGTTCAGTAATCAAGTCTCTCTCTTGTCTCTCTTTGGATACATCTATTGCATTTTAATATTATTGATAATTTATTTTTACCATCCCTATAACACTCCCTTCTTATGCTTCTTATTTATGTATTTCACTGTCATAGGCTGCCTGGAAGAGATTGCTGTTTAGCATTAAGGCCATCTGCTGTGTACGTTTTCACTGTTATGTTTTATGTCTTATCAATGCCCTGGTGGTGTATATCAATGAAGAATATTATAATTATATTTTCTATTATTTATTTTGATGTGTTGTCCTCATTCAGCATACGAGCGTGGTCACCCCCGCGCGGCGCTCAGTGCCCACACGTTCCCGACTACGGAGGATTCTCCACAGCGAGATGGATCTATAACTCGCCCGCCGTTACCTACTGTGAGTTACTGATATTTATATGTGTCATCATCACCAGCAAAAACCGGCGGGCGTGTATGAAAAGGGTAATGAATGTGAATGAAGCGAAGAATGTGTGCACAGACTGTGTTTTTAATGTCGCTCTATTCTCTTTGCCTACTCGGCGTAAAGATATAAATAGATAGATCATCAGCCTTTTAATGTCCACTGCTGGGGCTTAGGCGTACCCTACAGATGGCATAGGGAGATTAGGCCGTGACCCACCACGCGGGCACAGTATGGATTGGTGGCTTAGTAAACCTCCACTGAAAGGTAAGGATAATCTGGTTCCGTTTATCAGCAACAGTTATTATAAAATATCTAGGCAATAAAGCTGAATAACAACTCTTGCTAAGGTAACGGCACCAAATTATCCTTAACTTTAACTAAAGGTAAGAATAAATAGTTACTGTAAGAGGTACAGAATAAATAAATATTAGAGGACCTCGATGGCGAAGTGGTTAGCGTGTTCGGCCTGCGATCTTAGAAGTTCAGCAACTTTCTTACCATAGTCACGAGCTTGTAAATACCAATTCTGCACGAATGTCATACAACGTGTTTCAATACATATTTTAAGGAAACAGTACGTACACCTAATTTAAGTAGTGAAACAAACTTATTCTAATAATAAAATGGCGTGTATTTCCAAACGGCGCCACGTGCGGGTAGCGAAAGTGAGAACGACATCTTTCATCTATTTTTAGTATTAAAGTGAAACAAAGGTAAAGATTTAAAGCGTTTTCAAGTAGGTTTGTCCGAAATAAAAAAAAAACCGTAAAGGTTACGCACTGCGCTATGTATGGGAGCATTTTACCGCACGTTCCGTTGTATGGCCCGTAATTTTGAACTTTCGAACAAATACAACCCCAACCTCAACCATGCATTTTTTGAGCAAATGTGTTGAGCAACTTATTATCTCGAACTCCTCCGTGCTTTGGAAGGAAGCCGTTGGTCCTGGCTGCAACTGAAGTTGTTAGCATCTACCAATCTGCATTGCGCCCGCGTGGTGGGTCATGCCCCAGTCTCCCTATTCCATCCGTCGGGAAGGCCTGCACCCCAGCAGTGGAGACATTAAGAGATTGATAATGAATATCTTGAGATCCGTTTGTCATCTATAAATAATTGTCCAATGTTTGTTTTGTTAATAATTTATTTTTCTGTAAACCGACCTACATTAATGTTTGATGTTATTCTTTCTTACAGAGATGCTCGTCCCTTGAACGGCCTTCAGTCCCGGCAAAGTCGGGTAACGCCAACACTGGACAGCAGGATCTTAAGACGACAAAGCCGTCTTCATTGCCACCGCACCTTACCAAAGGTAATTTGGTAAAATATAATTCTTTTCATATGATGTTTATATTGTTAGTCCTGTCTGTGAAATTTAGCTCTATAACATTTTAATATTTTTCCACACAGCAATTAGCCTAGCCCCGAAGTACCGGATAGACGAGACGAGAGATATAAGTATACTATTATAGAAAAATATATGTACATCCATGACTAAGGTATAAATGCTCGTATTCATCAATCTAAGATTTGCCCCCACCGGGTGTCGAACCTCACGAACCTTAAATATGACACTGACATATAAACTACGAAAGAGTCTTTAACAGAGTAGAGTTAAAAAGTTTAGTTTAACAACATTGGTTCCTTGTACGGACATTATCCTCTTATGTCAGCCCGTAGCATGAGCTCCACGATATGATACATATTTTAAATTGTGGTGCTCATGCTACGGGGACAGGTGTGATTAAACCTGCCATCTTAGAATCAGACTCTGTGTGCATGCTAAAATAATTAGCAGGATCGCTACTTTAAATTTTTTGCGAGTCCTTGATGTAATAACAGTTATTTGGTATAAGAAGTTTCACGGAATTGCGGTTACTCTTTTGTTGAATAATGCCAATGCATATATACATATGAGTAGAAAACGAATAATCAAAAACATATTTACCTACCTAAATTACGGCTTCTTGGGATATTTTTATTAAAAGTAAAATTTCGGGATTCCGAGATCGTATGACTAATCGGATGTATATTTACCTAAAGTTAAAATTACCATTTGATTATTATTTGTGTATAGGTAAGGTAAGGGACTGTCCATTAATCAAGTGAGGGTCGAAAGGGGGGGGGGGGAGGGGTCCATAAAAAATCACGAAATATCACAAGGGGGGAGGGGGGTGTAGTAATATATATCACGTGTATTTCCGTAGTCCGAGGATACGGTACATTTATAAAGAATATTCATGTATTAGTACAAAAAAGTTTTCATAATTTTTATGTCGGACAAAAACGATCTGCAAACTTTCTGCCTACCTCTATTTCAAAATTTTCTATTATAAAATTAGATGATACTTATAGCTGCATTTTAAAATTAAAAAAAGAAGAAAAAGTAGATACTAAAAAATACACGTGAAAGGGGTGGAGGGGGGGGGGGGGGTAGTCTTAAACCTCACCGTGTATCACCAAAGGGTAGGGGAAGTTAAAAAATGCCAAAAAATACATCACGTGATTAATTGACGGCCCCTAAGGTGTAAGAAAAATGGTGATGTGGTTAATAAGAAAACATAAATGAATACATTTAAGACATATATTTTTTTATATTAAATACTTAGGGCAACTTTCATTTTTGTCTAACGGGGTTTATTACATCTCAAGACGTATACAAATAAAATTCCCAGAATCGCGGGTGTTTTCGATAAATAAAGTGCGATCAATAATTGCCATCATTTCAACTTAAGGTAAATATGCATAAGAATGTCCGATCTCTACATTTTTAGTTACCATAAAAGTTGAAAAACTACGATAGCGCAGCGACCTGAAGGGGATCTTGGCCAACGATAATAAGATACAACATATCTATGTGTTTTATTTTTTGTTTTGTAGAAATGCCGGCGGCTCTATACGTCAATATGTCCGAATTGGCAACTTTAGCCGCTTCCCGCGCGCACTCGCACCATTCCCACCATGCTGACCATCCGCCTCAGGAAAAGGTGAGTTATGTTCTGTAATCTATTTTATTATATCACAGGTAACTACTTACACGCAGTTGTTAAATGTTTTATTATATTTTTATTTTAAGCATTGAACTGCTAGATGTTTAAATCTATAGAAAATTTTACTGGAAAAAAATCTAGGAAGCAGACGGGACTCGAACACGCACCCTCTGCTATCCGCGCAGATGCTACCGTGACCGTAATGACCGTGTCGAATTACTTCTAGTACTTCTTAGGCTGCAAGCCAGCGCTATCTATTCGCATTGTAGGTTACCCACAATATAAAGCAAGTATTAAATACTTGAAAAAAGAAATAACAATTATATTTTCTTTTGAAGCTATTATTTTAAATTTCTTTAGATAAAACATCTAGCAGATTTTTTGAAGAAAATTTAACCAGTATTGGTTTACTTTATTCGATGTTTGTAAAGGGTTTCAATAATAATAAATAAAGTATGAAATCGTACTTTATTTATTTAACTTTCATTGGATAATTTCTTTTTGTATTCATTTCATTCACAAAGTCTGTTCAGAACAAACTTAAAATGGTATTTAACGGAGGGCAGATACTTGTAAAGCATATTCGGCAAGCAAACTATTTGCCTACCAAAAATAGGAATCAAACGCGACATTAAAAATAAATTTGAATCAGAGAGGTCATTTTAATGATTAATTATAGTTCACAAATTTCACTTTGACATGTTGTCTATTCCGTCTCAGATTAAAAAAAAACCTGCGGGTACGCAGCCATCAGCCAGTCTGCGTCATGCGTGTCGAGTGACCGGTGCGTGTATTGTCTGGTTTTAAGTGGCCCTGTTCAGGGCGTTAGGTAGGGTCCTGCTTGTTAGGGAGGAGCCCACATACCTTCGTCTCGCTTCCCCGGTGGTTGAAGGTTGCGTTATGCATTTCACAGACAAAACACAAAAAAAAGGACTACTTATTTATTAAAGCGATCGAAAGAAAAATGTATCTACGCAATGATACAATAGCTTATAAATTTGAGTCGGTCTGAAATTAGTCATTAGTCTACACAACCATGGAACAAATACAAAGAGGAGTTGATGTATGCAAAAATTTATTGCTTAAATGAGATAAAATCATATTTTTTAATATATCAATATTACTACCAGTACGAATGTTGCCATCTAACGTCAAATAGACATACTAAATACTATCCAGTGTTACATAACACAATCAGGTTTTGATTTTGCTCTAGATTTATTGAAAATTGCCCTTATTACCTCAGATTTTCGAAAATCCTCGATTTAGACCATGTTTAGTCAATTAGAAATACTTCAAAACTCATTGAATATGGCTCCATCAAAATATAATTCTAATTATGAAGTCAACAAATAAAACAAATACTGATTCCGAATGAATAAGCAATAAAGAAAAAGACACATACATAAAAGTCATGTAAATGTACTTTTAAACTTCAGAATTTATGCAAACAAAACAAAATGTTATACGCTTTATAACCCTAATTACGTAAAAAGAAAAAAATATTGTAAAATAAGTATGCCCATTGTTAAATTAATACGGGCTTCGCCCTAATGAATGATGTAAACATCTCCATGTTAAATTATGCAAATGCTAGGCTTTATTTTATTATATTCCGTTTTCTTATAATTCTTATGTGTTCGAATGGAGGTTTTGTATTGCGTTTACTCTAGGAAATCAAGTGAAGCCACTGATAGGGGAAGGTTATTTAGTCCGGCTCCGACTCGTGTGTGTCGTCGTGTTTACAAGTAACTAGATTTTAGTTTCGTTACTCGTCACGTTGGCGCTATTGGGATGCTGCACCTCCCCCCGCTATCTGTCAATGGCTTCACTTCATTTCTTAGTGTAAACGCGATACGACACCTCCTCTTTGTTTTTGCTCCATGTACACAACAGATAATTAAAGTAGTGGCACCCATGACCGACAAGAAAATGATCGACATTTTAATCTGTGATCAATGTAAAGAAGAGTAGGTAACCGATAACTAAATATGTTAACAGCGAGCTATAGATGCGCATAATATAATATATAGATGCTTAAAAGAAGGGTAAGTAACCAATCATCATTCATTCATTGATCACAAAAAAGGTCCGATCATTGGTTCTTGTCGGTCATTGGTGCCACTACCTAATATGGTAGTTTTTTTCGTAGTTTTGATCTATGCTAGATTAAATACTCTCATATTCGTTGCCGTGTCCAAATGATATGTTGATTTATCTCTTCTGTGGCGAGCGGACCTGTAAATAGATTTAATTGTCATTTGAAATAGTCTGAGGCTCAAGCGCAGTCCCTTTTTTTTAAATATAGTTTTTGCATTATTTCAATTAACAAATCTATAAAATTTTATAAGGGATGAATAACAACGTTCATGGGTTGAAGTGAGGAGATAGACCGTTGAAAATTGTACATTTATTACTTAAGTTTATATAATTTTCGAATAGGGAAGGAATATCTTTTTACACAATAAAGTGTACCTACTTAAACGATATTTAAAAAGAAACAACATACAACTTTTCCCAATGGAATCTGGACGCCAACGACTCTGTTAGTTGGCCCTCCTTCAGCTGTTTCTTTACAGCTCTCTCTACCAATCGCAGCGAAGAGAACATGTTCTGTACAGCGGCGGGTTGCCTGTTGCGGGATGTCGTCTGGAATATTAACAAAACAGTATTACTCGTAACATTAAAAGGAATCGCAAATTACGACATACAATATTCTGTTCCTCTCGCACATGCTATCCTAAGAAACGTGAGAGGGAGACAATGTTTTGCGTCGGCATTTTCTATTCCTTTCTTTAATGACACCAGTAATACCTAAGTCTTAATTAATTTATTTATGAATGTGTTAAGTGTATATCAATTAAATAGGTGCCTTTACTATAATTCCAACTTGGTTGGAGGAAGGGGGGGGGGGGGACCTTTAAACAAAATCGGGAGATAACTGTTATTTTCGTCTTTCACGTGTAATATGAGGTATACAGATAAAGGGGCAAGGAGCACATATGCTAATTCTTAGCACGTTAGTAAATAGGATAAGAAACTGTATGGAAAATCATTTTTTTCTCCACGCCTCTTCAAAGGGACCCCATATACCCAAATACCCCAAATAGAACGAATGCGAATAGTACGACAAAGAAATGATTCACCAAATTTCTTTATTTGTGTTGGAATATTTATATTATTGTTTCAGTTACTATTTACGAGAATTTTATTTCTATTTAGACTATTCGTATTTATTTGATATTTGTAAAGTACGATAAGGCAAATATGAGTCGCACGTCAAGCAATAGCATTATTAAAATTAATTTAAAAATCTAAAATGAAAGTGATTTTATGCAGCCCGTGTGATAGATAAATCACTGGGTGTATGTTAAACGTGCCTTCTGAAGCATGAAAGAGCTCGAGATAATAAGGGTTTGATCACGCATCCAATGACCGACAATTCCTTAAGTTGCTTAGCTTCCACGATAGCAGGGCGAACGCGCTATCCACCCGCGCTATCGAGGTCCTCTACCTGTCACTGGGTGTATCTAGGGGTGGAACCATACCATCTAGGTATCGATACTTTTACTCGATACTGTATATCGGTCATAAAGTATCGATACTTACTTGTATCGATAAATTTTGACGAACTATATCTCAATTACAATTTCAGTCACAGTTTTAATTTAACGAAAACAAAATATCGGCTCACGCCACGCGATGAACGAATGACTAGTCAGTCAGTTTAATTTATTCAGTCGAATAAATTGGAATAAATATAAAACATACACAAGGCTACCAACTGAGCAATAGAAATGATGCGTTCGCAAAACAAAAATTCCAACAAGACACTTTACTATAGCCTATGAGTTTTTTTTGATACTTCTCAGTGATTGACCGACCGATTACCGATACAAGTACTTACTTCACGATACTACTTATTACTCAGTTCTATAGGATCGATGCCAAAAGTACTTGGTATCGAAAGAAAAGTATCGAGTAGTTACTTGTATTTACTCTTTAAAGATTAGTTTTGAATGATATCATACCATAATTTCTACTGCGTCAAACAGCTTCTGCATCTCTTTCTTCTCACGGTCAGTGAGTGAAGGGTCTTGCCAATCGAATATCTCACTCTCTTTTAGTTTAGCTTTGATCTTGTCCAATGTGATTGGTGTACTCTGATCGGGGATTTCACCAGATTTGTACGCTGCTTTCGCGTCTTCTTCTAAAGGGCTGAGAAGGAAAGAAACTAAGAATACATAGGTCACACTTAAACTTTTTCGTCACTATAACATTGTCACTTGATCGATTCTCTTAGCTTAAAGTTAAATGAGTAAAGTTGTAGTATTTTATTAATCTAGTATCTAATTACAATTACTGCAGCTACATTAAAAACTGTTCTCTGTATTAGGTGTTTTTATAGTTGCTTTTGGTATGAAAATACAAAGTGAAAATTTTACACTACTTATATTTTTATTATTTTTTTATCAATATGAATAATCTGTAAAACAGAAACTCACCATTGATAGCTCTCTCGTATATTTAATGCAACACTGAAAAATAAATTTTATTTTCCTATTATTTATTTTGGTTTATGTTCGCAATTCCGTCGTGTCGGTGCTCAAAACTAGGGTGCGTATGTGTCTTTAAGAAATCTTATTTAGAATAAGTGTTTTAAGTTTGAGGTCCCAGGGTGGTCTCTTCCCTTGCGCTAATCATCATTCAAAGCTGCTTCACAGTTTAAGTATGACTAGACAGGGACAACAAGCTCGATAGCGCAAGTGGTTAGCGCGTTCGGCTGCGATCGTTGAAGTTAAGCAACTTTCGCAGTGGTCAGTCATTGAATGGGTGACCAAAAATTTACTATCTGGAGCTCCTTCATGCTACGGAAAGCACGTAAAGCCGTCCCGGCTGCATCTGTAGTCGTAAGCACCCATCAATCCGCACTAGGCCCGCGTGGTGGCCAAATCTTTTTTGATTATTGATACCATGCATAGGGAAGGCCTGTGCCCCAGCAGTGGGGTCATTATTAGGCTGGCGATGATAGATTTTCTTTCTATTTACACTTCGTCATTCGTAGTTACAATTTCGTCAAGTTAACCAAAACTGTGAAATAACTTCACCTAACTTTGCAGGATTGCTTGTGAAATGAGATTCTTTATGTCTTTGTATCCAAAAAATTGCCTTGCTGTCTAAGATACATTTATTTAAACTAAAAATAATTCCACACGTCTGTAAGTCTGCACTATCCCAGTCTGATAACTAGTTCAATATTTTGTAGTAAATATAATCATTTCTTATTAATCTAGCAAATAAGTAATACCGAAGTAGTTACTGTATCTTTTATTTATTTAAACTTTATTGGTGCAAATACAAGAGAATGGTACAAAAGGCGGACTTAATGCTAATAGCATTCTCTCCCAGTCAACCTTTGGGCAAAAGAAAAACGCGGACGGCGGTATAAAGCTATATATAATAAATAATATTAAAAATATATCCTACGAATTAACATAGATACATAATATGAATACATCCATACCAAAATTATATTTAAATATATATATAAACATAAATATACACATTATGATGATTAATAAAGCAATTAAATAAATGTTATATAATGCAAGTAAGCTATTTACCTGCTGCTCGATTGTAAAGAATGTTAGTGTTGTATAATATAGAACCTATCGCACAACGCTACTGGAAACATAAATGTAAACAAAAGTGTATGGGAAAATCTATGAAATCGACATGTTTGTTTACAAATTCAACTTAGCTCGTTAACTGCCCTACCTTTGGTACGAGTACTGCGAAATAATAACTAATGTAATTGTAATAAGGTTGCTTTTATCTACTTCAGTCACATTTGATTTGGTTGTGTAATAGTGTCTGAAATTGACTAGAGTTTCTAACGTTTGCATGTAAAACATTTTGATTTTGTTATTTAAAATGAGTATTATTAAATTATTTATCATACCTACTTAACTAAACAAATAATAAAATACATTGAAGTGGCCTTTCTATATTTTATCCATTTAATATTCAAAAATAATCCGGATGCTTGTTAGTTTGAGCATTCTATAAAAATATTTATGATTATTTTCTGGTCTTGAGTTAAGAAAATATTGGAAGCACCTAACTTGAATTAATAATATTTTTTAGTGTCAGTTAAAATAGAATTATGTATTATTATTTATTTCTCTATACAATTTAAAATTCAACTATTGATAAAAAAATAACACATACAAAATTACAACGTAACAAAAATGGAAGTAAACCAAACTATAAATAAAGCAGCAATCACATGTATTTATATAGATATATATTTTTTTGTATCAAAACATACTTACAAAAGATTCAAAATAAAGATTTTCATGCCGCCGGTGCAAACCATTTTAGTTGCAAGCGCACTCAACAATCTGTGCAAATATTCGCGGCGCACTGATTTCTTGAACGATTCGACGCGCATTGTAAACCCTGCCTCGGTTATATTGCTTGCCATTCATTCGAAACTTTATGACTGGATCGAACCGACTTGATCGTTGCACTTATAAGGAATTGTTCTTATGATGTAAGGAGACTTGTGCGGATCAAATATATTGCCACATCGATTCGAAATATGACAGTTTCTGTCAGTTTTCAAGATTCTGCAGAATACCTTCATTGTTGATTTACGGTTACAATATTTAAAAAATATATAATGTTAGATTTTAATACAAAAATATTTATTTTTAGTTTTAAAAATTACATATTGCCTCACGTTACATCTTGGCATTTTAAGATCCCTGTCAGCTCTTGCTATTACACAATAAATATATAAAGAAATGATACACTGAACAAAATTTTACGTACGACTTTATTTTATTAAAAGACTTTACAATCAACTTTCTCGACGAAGTATCAAAATAATCAATGCCAGTATCAAGAGTGTATTGTCATTTGGTCGCCATTATTGTTCGATGGGATACCGATTGTATAATAAAGGGGTTCGCATTGTTGCAATTGTTATATATTATTTCACATAAGCTGAAGACGTAAGCTCTCCATTCAATGTCTCAGTTTGTTTAATAATAAACGTTGATAGCTTAAATATTAAAATAAGGTACGTATAATATAGTTTTAGTAATAAGTTTTACACAAGCAACTTAAATTTTAACTATTTTCAATAATTGCTAAAATTTAAGCTGGGCTAAAGCAACAAACAATATAAGAGTTGTATCTCTGTGTCAAGTATAAGTTTTCATTTTCTGTCAACACACGTTATTTCTACTGGCTACATAAAAACTAACACCTGAAATAGCATCAGGTCTTCAAGTTGAAGATAAAATTGTATACTTTCATACCTGACACTGAGCTGATATCAAAAAGGAGGGGGTTCTCAACTCGTCAGTATATATATTGTATTATATGTATTTTAAGCATTTAATTCCAAGATTTATAATTCTAAAGAAAATTTTACTAGAAAATAATCCACGCGGTCCAGGAAGTAGACGGGGCTCGAACCTGCACTGGCCGTATTTGTCTGTAATTGAACGCTTTCTAAACGGCTGGTCTGATTTCGATAAAAAAAATTATGTGTGTATTCGAATGGCTTCCTGGATGGTTTATATCTAAAATAGAGATGCCCTGCGGTTTCACCCGTATTAATTTGAGGAAAAAAAAGGAAAGGAATTTTATAAAGAACTTTAAAGGGTAACAATTCCGTCATACATGATTTATGTATAACTCTAACCGTTTACACAGCGCTCGCAATAGAAGCTCACAAATAGTATATTTTTTCCGCTCTTATTAAACTTAGTGTTATGTTATATAGTAATCTATAGCCTTCCTTGATACATGCCCTATCCAATATAAAAGGTTTCAAATCTTACCAGGAGATCATGAGATAAGTGGGTTTAATCTAACAAACAAACAATCTCTTCAGCTTTATATAAATTGTATCCGGTATTTTTATCGAGCATGACAAATTAACTGTCGGGCTTGCTTGTGTGCTATAAAAGATATAAAGACTAAGGAATCCATTAATATCCTTAATGTTGTATTTATTTCCAGGTGTGTTCAGAGAGCAGTGCGAGCGAATCTTCTCTCGAGTCTTCGAGCGGGTACGGTAGCCAGGGCGCCTTTGCCAACGACGATCAAGCGGCGCATCTTCAGCACCAGCACGCTGACGGTATCGTATATTCTTCTTTATCACCCAAGGTTTTAGGTCGATAATCTAAGTCTACTCTCGAGTCTTCGAGCGTGTGCGGCAGTCAGGGCGCCTTCTCCAACGACGACCAGACAGCGCATCTTCAACACCAACACGCTGAGGGTATCGTATATTAATGTTTATTACCTATGGTATAAGGTCGATAATCTAACTAACCCACGATATGAGGTTAATAATCTAACTCTCCGAGCGGGTACGGCAGCCAGGCTGCCTTCGCCAACGACGACCAGACAGAGCATCTTCAATATTAATATGCTGGTGGTATCGTATATTCGTCGTTATCACTTTTTTTTTTAAATTAATGTCTGGAAAATGCTTTACTCATTCGCCACCCATCGAGAGAAGCAAAGCGGAGTTATCCGGAACTCCTCCCCACCCATTTCATTTAGCCTACGGCCAGACCAGAACCAGACAATACTCCAGCACCGGTCACCAGATACGCAATCTGAGGACCGAAGTCTCCCCATAGCGTGCCGGGAGTGCGGGTTAGTACCGCGGGATACACAACGCACCGCGGCCCCGCCAGTGATTGTCCGTTGCCGAACCCACCCCGGCGTGCGGTTCCCCGGAGTATCAGAGGCACTACACGTCTCAGGAACTGTGCAATGCTCCCGGGGGAGCGGGAGGGGGAGCGTAGTTCTCCCCGTCCCTCTCCCCTCGCCGTCGATGCGGGGGCAGGCACCCCCTCTCCCGGCCGCCCGAGCCTCCCCATCCCTTCTCCGAGAAACGTCGTTATCACCTAATTTATAAGGTCGAAGATATATATATATTTCTGTGTCTTGTGTTTTCGCATAAGTAATGAGAAAAAATATTTAAAATGTCTTATATATACCCTTAGGACGCTTGTTAACGAGACGATTTCTACCCGGACCGACTAGGTTTGTTCACGCACACGGTTTGTACATTTGTACCGACCCCAAACCGTCTTTTTTGCTGCTGGTCGCAGATAACCTTTACAGTTTCACCGGGTTTGGGGACGGCAAGATCCTAAGCTGACCTCAAGACGAGAATTGGCGAGAGGCGGATGGCATCTACTCACGGGGGGAGTCTCCTCTCCGTCTGGAGCGTCTTGACTGTCCCAAAAAAACCGTCGCTAGCGCCGGTGTCGATAACAAACCTCCATAGTGTCCCATACCTATTTGACGACCGGAAGTAGACGAGGCTTAAAAGCTTCCCAGAGCCTCGTTTCGTTGACAAGCGCCCTTATGCTTACAAGCACTGAATTAATTTGCCTTTTCTGAGTTTTGAAATTTATAAACAAATATAAACATTTAGTAAATTAATTGTTTTAATCGTTAGCATACATTTAGTAAATTCATTGTTTTTTTCGTTAGCATGTTAGTTTGCTGTATATAATGTACTGTGTACGTGTTGATATTAAGTTGGCAGCACATCGATAGGTATTAATGTAATCGTGATTCTGCAGTAATTATGTATTTTTACATGCATAAACGTTATTTTGTATGAGAGCACCATTTCTGCTTAATAATACTCTATTCGATGCTGCTGCCGATTATTTTTACATAGAATAGTGTTTTATTAGTTGTAGTATTAGTTTTTTGTTTAATTGTTTTCCGAAATGTTGCTACAATGTTGGAAAGGAATATTATTTTAACTGTTGGTATTGCCAATCTGTAATTATTATTTCTGTAAATAACCCTCAAATTAGCATGTTATTTCGATATTAAATGGTCCATGCTTATAGTACTAGTATATAACATTATTTCGTCCCGAGTATTAAAATTGTCTCTCGCCCCACTTTTTATTTTTAGAAATACTTCCCGTTCATGCTCAGGAGGTACATTGGCGCACTTATTTTCTCAGTCAACACTGTAACAACGTTTTACCTTTCTTTTTCGTGTGTGTATGTGTGTGTGTGTTTTTTTTTTCTTTTTTAATTTCGGCTTTGCATGTGTTCCTTTGCGCGTACACAGTGGAGTCTGAGATCGTGACGTTACGACGGGACAGCGACGCTTCCGTAGCCGCGGCTCGAGAGAGTTTCTCCATATCCCTCGGGAGCTTAGAAGAGGCTGTCAGGAGTCTGGACGAAGCTTGCGAGTCTCCATCGTTCGCGACTATCGGCAAGAAGCCGGCCGTGCCCAAGCGGCGGCCGGTGTCAATGTCCGGTGAGTCTTCATCGCGTTATCGCAATTGTTACGGCTCTTTCTAAATGACCGGATCGCAGTTCAGCGTTACCAGATTCGAGGTTTTTACGCAATTCTGGGAAAGAAAATCTCTTGGGGAACAAAAATTCTTCTTTAGGGCAGTTTTTTTTTAATTTAACTTATCTTGCCACGGCCTGTTTGGATATGCCATTTGCTAATGCTGCTGTAGAACGGGCGTTTTTGTTAATGAATATCGTCAAAAATAAACTCCAAAATGGAAGGCTCCTGAAAACAGCAGAACAATCACGACTGTGAAGTGTCTTAAAAATAACGGCGGGTGCATTAAGTTTGAAGCCACCGGAAAATGCAAGAATTATTTTACTCTGAAAATGTGTATTCACAAATAGATGAAGAAAGTGAAACTCAAGAAGTACCTACTAGATATTTGGAATGAAGCTTAAATTGACAAATATTAGCCATTTTTTTGTAATAAGGCGATTGGGATTTCTTCTAGAAAACGTATAATTTTGGGGAAATTTAAAAATAATAAAATTGCATCTGGCAACCCTGTCGCAGTTTCTCCATCTCCCTCAGAGCTTAAATTAGAGGAGGCTGTAATAAGGCTGGACAAAGCCTGCGAGTCTCAGGGTAAGAAGCCGGCCGTGCCTAAACGCCGGCACAGTATTGGTAACTTTCCGCACTCAACACTCAATTTTTTCGAAAATATTTGAGAGAGTAATGTATAGTCAACTTTCGTCATTTTAAAAACAAAAATATAATATCGTTAGCGAAAGTCAGTATGGTTAAAAACTTAAATCTACGACACAAGCGGTGTATAATTTAGTAAATGATTTTCTAAAAAATGTTAATGAGAATAAATACATCTCAGTCGCTTTCGTTGACTTGTCTAAAGCATTTGATCGGGTCTTACACAAAAAACTACTCGATAAACTACAGTTGACCGGAATAAGAGGTCCTGCTTATGACTGTTTAAAATCGTTCAATTTTTTGAGATAGAAATAATAGGTACCTAATAATCATACTATACAAATCTACAGATCCAGTCTTGAAAAAAAACGATACTGGCGTCCCATAGGGAAGTATACTCGGTCCATTGCTATTTCTAGTTTATATCAATGACATTACAAATTGTTCAAACAATAAATTTACTTTATTTGCTGATGATGTCTCAGTATTAGTTTCTACTAATAAAAGTAGCACTATTGTGCTACTTTCATTAAATGACTGGCCATAATAGAGATCCATAATAGATTGGCTAAATGATAATAATCTTCAAATTAATGTTAACAAAACCAATATAATTAATTTCAATAATCTTAAAAATCTTAATAATAATATTAACATTCACGGAGAACAACTTAAATGGGCTACAAAAGATAAGGTTTTGGGTCTATTTATAGATAGCAAGCTTCATTGGAGTAAATTTTGGAATTAAATTATTGTACGTCTCTGCGACCGAACACAGCATGTTATTAATAAAGCTTAAGATCATATTATATATCTGTGTATCACGATAATTGTAGTAAAATTTGTGTATGTTGTTGGTCGCACATAACCTTTAGTGTAAAGCACGTTTTACTTTTAGTTTAGCTTGTTTTTAGAATCCTTTTTAATAATATTCTGCAACTAACATTCTGTTAGCACCCACCACTGGTCCCGCGTCGGGGCTCACTGCCCTGTCACCGTATTCCATCTTTAGGGAAGACCAGTGCCCTAGCATTGAAGACATTGAGGCTGATGATGATGAAGGCCTTATATTTCAATGATTGTTTTGTCCACAGCCACAGTTTGGTCTAGGCGTGGTAGTTCCAGTTCTTTGGGCAAACCACCGCCGCCAGTACGCCGCTCGTCTTCCATATCTAGGCCTCAGAGACCACCTTATGGTCAGGTATCGTATTAATTTTACTTTATAGGAAAGGATTGTTAGAAAACTATGCTAACCAAACCTAAGTGAATATATTTAATATCGTAGTGGTAGGGATGCATAGATCCAAAATTGATAATCATTATTCAAGACATAAGTGCAATTTTAGTAATTTTAGCTGACCCAATGTTGAATTCAGCAAAGTGTTTTGTTAGTCCATTATTACACCAACGATTCGCTGCTCCCACTGTGTGCGTTTCATTAAAGAAGAACATTATTTTAGGATAGTTTATGATGGGTCTGGTTGTTCTCTTAAGAATAAGAGCCCCTAAATAAATAAAGATAAAACATATGGAAATTAAGGAAAGGAATTTATAGGATGAAAGTGTCTTGACTCCAGGCCTCAGATACCACTATACGGACAGATAACGTATTATTTTTAAACCTGGAATACTTGAAATAGTTTAACTTGAAAAATATGAAACTAAACCGAGGAAAGACGAAAGTAAGAATATGTCTGGAAACGTCGAACGAGACGATCCGCGTAGAATCAAGATTTGTGATCATGAACTGTGCATTAAATGCAATTCCATAATAAGGCTTCAGTCACAATAGTAATCGCAAATAGATTTTTATTATAGATCACAATTTGAAATGTGTCTTTTTTTAATTTACAAAAAATAATAAAATATTTGAGGATTCTTCGATATCAAAGTTTTGGATAAAATATAATACTATAGGGGTAGCTACTCACATAATATGGCGGTTCGGCAGTATTTGCCGAACAACAAAGCCGACCCGAAGAAATTACTTACTTTCATCTCCATATATTCGATTTAACCGCACGACTGTGCCGATTATTGCATGCCATAATTATGTCTGTGGCAAACCCTGACAATACTATTTATTTTCTTCTATACTAATACCTATTTATGAAATGTATATTTTTGTATAGGGAAATACAACACAACAGATGGCGTCTACAGATGCCGACAACTTACCCCCACCACCGGCTTTCCTATTACAACCCGAAAACGACATTAGTGCAGGCCAGTAAATTTTATTATTATACTTAATCTAAAAGATTTCCGTTTTTGTCCTATGTTTTTGTTTGTGTGTATGTTTTGGGTGAAGTAATATAGGTAAATGCTAAAATAATACATGAACAAATTGTCTAAATTACTGCTATTGTCGCGGCATCATATGGGCATTACTAAAGCCAATAAAAATTGTATTATTTCTTATTATTATAGCCAATATTATGTGGGGTATGACTGATATATAAGTTGGTGTGTATAAAATACCCAAGCTTGAACCCAAAGCATAGAAGAATGAACAAAGTTATAAATACTCTATCTAAATTGACTGCTGGAAAAGAACTTTTAAATGTCCAATATTTTCCTATCACCTATAGTCCAGACGCCCCGTCAAATAGTGGTCACATACTTATTAATTTTAGTTTTTATTCGTCTTCGAATAATTTTGTTTCTGAAATTTCAGCTCACACAGGTATCAACGTAGCAGAGACCGTTAAACAATTGACAGAGCTTAAACATATGCCTGCTTCACCCGGATTGGTCCGTCGCAGCCTACAACAAATACAGAATCAGAATCAAAATCAGAACCAAAACAATGCAAATACACCCTTGAGCACGTTCCAACAAAGCAAATATTCGTCTAACACCAGTCTCAATAGCACCGGCAATCTGAATCCTATATACGGACAGACAGGTCATCGTATAATGGCTTACGTCGAGAACTCTATTTATGTGAGAAAGAATAGCTTGAACAGTTCGAATCAAGATCTGTTCAGAGATGGTAATTCGGGTGAGTATCGTTGTCAGTGCTTTAATTATAGTCTATCCGTCCAAAAATAGATTATTATACACTAAAAACAGTATAATGTGTTGTAACGTGAATACACGCCTTTGAAAAGAAAAGCGAAAGAAAAGTTTTACTAAAAAGGCTAGGAAAATTTCGACGCGGCCATCAGGGCCGTGGTAGCATAATTGGTCAGTGCATTCGCCCGGATTGCGAAGGGTGCGTGTTCGAGTCCCGTCCGCTGCCTGGTCCGCGTGGATTTTATCTAGTAAAACTTTTCTTTAATCAAAGTTTTTGACTTAGGTCACATCAAAGGTCGTAGCAGACATATCAACTCGGAAAGGGATCGTCACTATATCAATCCGAGACGTTCAGTATTCTTTTTTATAAAAACACCTTTCTGCAACTTTCTTTCTGAAAAAACTGTTGCTGTCGTACATTGGCAAATACCGTAATATTGGGGCAACAGTAGCTAACGCTGAAAATTGCGATTAAAAATTGCAATATTTAAGGTTTGGCTTTCGACGACTTCCTCCTTGAGAATTAGATATATGTAAAATATTTTTTTTGTATAGTTATTCTAGGCCTTCGTTTTGCTTTTTTAGTAAATACTTATTGAATCTCCACACTAGACGTCTTTAGTGGTGATATACATTTATTTATTTTTGAGGACTTCTAGTTTCTTGGATGAACAAGTGTTACTTATCGTAAAAAGGAAGACAAAGGGGCATATAATGAGTAAAATTATATTTGATGTATGAAAATCATTTCTTTAGCGATAAAAAATTAAAGTGACTGGATTAGAGGCCGCTTCGCCTGTCTCCGAACAGCCTGTTGCCTCCGAAGTGAGGACGAGATTTGAGCACGGCTTCGGCGAGTCATGAACAATGGCGAAAAGACAGTGTATCCAAAGCCAGCAAAATTTCTTAAAAATACTAATTGTTCCTGTAATTTATTTGTGTTCACTTAATTTGAGGTAATTAGTTGCAAAATTACATGAGCTGTAAAGACGATCGCGCGCCATTTTGTGCTGCCTCGTGTTATTTTAATTATTTACCGAAGTAGCCCACACACGATCTGTATGCGTCTTTGGATTCCGATTATAAAGTGTACGTTGCAGTGGAATGTTTCAAACTACTAATACCAAACGGCTCAATTGATACTGTAACGATCCCTATCTGAGTTGATATGGCTGCTAAGACATTTATTCTGTTTGGTCGTTGTTAGTGCGGCTTTGCTTGAATACCTATTTTCTGATAACTAATTTGTCATTCAGTTTTAATATAGTGTAATATAGGGATGATGATATGATGTTGATAAAAATAAAAAAAAAACTGTTTAATCCTTCTTAAAAAGGTTCTAAAATTTTTAATGGACATTTTTTTCTTTTATCAATCAACCAGTCTCAATCAAAAAATAACAGATAAAACGAGTCAAAATTTGCAAGTGGCGGCTCATGACCTCACTTTTAAGTAAATATTGTACCAAGACGTGACTTCATGCGACATTTTAAATTAATATATCTCAGTTACGTTAAAAAATAATTAATAGATAATCTACCTGATAGATAACGAAAAATAAGTTAGTCGTCATGTCTACGCACGCACATATCAATTGCTATTGTTTGAAAAACAGGCGCGTGATTATATTTTATTTCTCAGGTGGTTCTCCGCACGGATCGAGCCCATCAACACCCAGCTACGGCGAGAACAATTCCTTCACTAGTTTTGGACCGAGAGTTTCTAATGATTCACACTATGGACAAACTGGTTAGTACTTATTTCTGTAACTTTAAATTCTCTACCTATACATAATAATTTCAATAGTTTTAAATATACATTTTAATAAAATGTTTTCTTTCAATACACTTTTATAGTGAATAATTAGTTCCAGTTCTTACGTTTGCATTTGGAGAAGTCAATGAATTTTTAAGTTTGACTTAAGTCGATTCTCGCACTTTCTTTGCGATAACAATACAATGAAATAACGCGGGACTTAATGAAGTTATTTTAGAATTTGAGTACAAGAATCTGCTCATATAAGTTATTAAGTAAAGTAAATTTCAATATATCTTTTAGAAGTACTATTAAGAAGTTTTGAAAGGTGTTTTTTTTTCGAGAATCTTGATATTTCGGGGCTTTCTTTTTATAACTATTATTAATAAATTCGTTGATTGTTTGTTGTTACTTATTTTACATGATGTGATGGAAGTTGACCTCAATACGAACATGTATTGTGCAAGTGCAAGTATGATCTCAGCTTTAAATTTGACGATACTATATGCAATAAAACAGGGAGAACAAAGCAGCCCTTGCTGAGTTTCTTGTCGTTAATTCTCAGTACAAGGTGTCCTGCCGTAGATTTGCGAACTGATGGCATAGCTTTTGACTTTCACATGTGCTTATAAAAACCTAAACCAATAAAATTAATTTAAGTACTTTTAAATCTGTCATATATACCCCCGGACACATCTATCGGTCCACCTAGCATTTTAAGTTTTTATGATCCCGAGCTAAAATTAGTAAAAAGTTAAATATTTAGAAGAAAGAGTTTTTACTCAGTTTTGAAGCTGCTTAATAAACCATCTTTATCTTGTGTTTTAAAAAATAAAGTATTATTTGCTGAACATAGCATATATTTATGCTGCAGACCGTTGAAACTTATATCATGTCGATATATTAGGAGCTGGCGAACAAAACGGTATAATTGCATAAAAGAAAATTTTACAGGAGCCATAAAAACTGTATGACATACCTACAGTGAGCTTTCGGCGTGGTTTTTTAATTATAAATTTAAACACTGTTTAGGCGGTTTTGGTTGAAAATGAGTTGCAATCCATTCAGCGGGCCCAAAACCTCCGGACTGTGTAAAAATAAAGTAGTTTTACCAGATGCGTAATTATACCGTTTTGTTCGCCAGCTCCTCATATGTGTCCGGAAGTGTATTATATTTATCCGTACATTCTCAAATACAGGTTACAAACTGCAACAAGAGAAGAAATACGGTCAAAATAACAGCATATACGCGCAGCCCTCCGCCATAGGAGGTATAGGCGCGCGGCGCGACCCCCTCAGCCCACTGGCTATGCGGCGCGATATAGCTGCGCGCGCGCACAGCGCCGATAGACATCCGGACCGTATGTTGATCACGTTATTACGCATATATCACCAGCACCTATTTATGTCCCCACTGCTGGGCACAGGCCTTCCCTATGGATGGAATATGCCGAAATCGAAACAATGGACAAGAAATTTGCAAAATTTAGCCACTAGGGGCGCTATTACAGCGCTTGACCCAAAACTGCTGTCAAATACACACATATTATCTTATATTCTCAAGTCTGTAAAAAAAAACACAATGTCATACTTTCCATTTAAGCCAGAGGTAACCTAACTCTATGGGATGTCTGACTGATGCAAAAATAAGAAAGCTTTGACTAATGAGCTCGATAAAAGTTACTGAGATCCATGAACTATCAAAATAATCATGGAAAATGCATCTATGTACCGAGAATGAGCATCCTAGCATAATAAAAGAAACAGTACCTTTCTACCGGATCAGCTTTTTTCCGAAAAACAATAATATCACCGAAATATAAATATCGGGCGCATCTTTACTTTTATTTTAGCCGACCGCGACTTCGTTCGCAAAACTTTTTTTTTTAAATACAATAAAAAATCTAAAATTGAAGTAGCCTAAGTTACTCCTTATTACATCAGCTACTTGCCAATAAATGTCCCGTCAAAGTCGGTCCAGCCATTTCATAGATTAGCCGGAACAAACAGACAGACAAAAATTGTAAAAAATGTTATTTTGGTGTATGTACCGTATATATACAGGCAGTCCTCGATTTACGTCGTTTCAAGTTACGTCAAACAATTTTTTGACACTATTCCTCAAGCTTACGTCAATTGTTTCGATTTTCGGCATAGGAGAATTCATTTGTCGCGAGTTTAATATCCGTGTGGCAGGCGTCCGTGGGGATGTCTCGACTTACGTCGTTTCGATTTACGTCGCGTATTTCGAGCCTAACTTGCCGTAAGTACGAGGACTGCCTGTATTCATATGCATGTAGTAAAACGCGGTTATTTCAACATTACAATCAGACACTCCAATTTTATTTATTTGTATAGAATAAATGTATAGATAATGTCCAATGTTGTGCAAAATTTCTGTTTTCTTCAGAGAGCGGTCTCATAGCCAGTCTCAGTGCCAAGTTAGCGCCTCAATTATCGCCGCGTACGACGCGACGTGCGATCTCGACTATCACCGCTGCCGATTCCCCACCTAAATCCAAAGGTACCTAATTATTCACACTTATTGACAATCTTCGTAGTCGAATGGTTTGTCTGCCGGGTTTCAAGGTGTCCCCTATCCGAGAGGTCCCGGTTCGAATCCCGGTAGATGTTTGTATGGGAATATAAATATACTAGTATATGTATTCTACCCGTTAGCCTAGCATCCCATAACGCAAGCTTATAGTGCTTATTTTGGGGCTAGGCTGTTGGTTGAGTGTCGGAAATATTTACTTATTTATTAAAACCTTGTCTTTCTGTTTGGCTGTCACGCCTAAACAGCTGAATGTGATTGAGATAAAATTGCACTATACTGTATTCAACTTCGTGGGAGAAAAAAGGTTAACAAACCATTAAAAGATTTTCCAATTGGTCAAATCTAATGTGTAGGAATATATTATCATAATAAAAAAGTAACACTAAATGACATAAATTTGTAGACATTCCCAAACTTATATGCATTATAATACTATGTAATTGAACGTTAGTGATAAAATGAATAATTTACGATAAAATATCACTTTTTGTCATCAGTCTGCTTACACCGGCCATCTTTACACTCAATAAAAAGTATTAAGAACATTGGTTTATTTGTTTACCTCTTGTCTCAGAGCAAGTTGGATAGAGTATATTTGTGACCGGCATGGACCTAATATTTATAATATAATTTATCTTTCCTAGGAACTCTTCAAACCGCCGTCCAGCCCGCGTTTCTAGACAAACTATCGGCGACAATTCAACAACAAAGACGACAGCTCGACTCGCCGCGCGCGAACACTGTGCGAGATCTGATCAACGCCCACGCTCAGGTAAATATGTGCAAGCTAATTTCATGCTTAAAGACATTGAGTAATAAAGACGTTTTTTTCTTAAGAAAGATTTTTGAGTTTTTTTTTTAAATCTAGGGTAGCTGTATTAGATTGTAAAAGTTAATTTAAAATAAACTATAACACTAGTTTTTACGGGTTAATGCACGAAACTTTATTTATTTATTGACGTTTCGTAGCCTTTACAGGCTTCGTCGTCAGAATAAAACTTTTATTCAATTTGTCGAGTTACCTTCGAAAGTCTTTCGAAAGACGTAAAGGCTACGAATCGTCAATAAATAAATAAAGTTTCGTGCATTAACCCGTAAAAACTAGTTTTATTTAATGAGTGATGTGCGTGAAATGGAGGACAGTGTTACAAGGGGCACAGTGTAAAAAAGGAATATATTTGTATTATACCCGGTTATTTGACGTCTGATGATAGCTGCATATAATGGCGGCATTAGGAAAGTAATAAAACACGTCAAGACAGTCTGAATTTGTCGGCCTAGGCACGACTTAGAATACCCCGACGACGAAATCACCCGCGCCAAGGCGCATCGACTCCTTCCACACAGGCCACAAGTATCAACACTACACAGCTATCAAACTTGCACACTAGCTTAGCATTAGGCAGACACGCACCCGTAGGATAAGAGTGCGCAGACCCGGTCTACACACGACACGCTATACCAGGTACAGGTACGTACCTGGGCGTTTTTCCTCGCCACCCACGACAACCGCTAACTAGAGCCGAGGTCCGAGTCTCAGAGACGCCCTCTAGTTGAGCCGACCCCCACAGGTTCGATTGGTCTAGAGGCTCCAGACGAAGAGGAGACTCCTCCCGTGGGGAGATGCCATCCGCCTGGAATACCTCTAGAAGCACGCGCCAATTCTCGGCTCGAGGTCCCCTTAGGATCTCGCCGTCCCACCAGGTTAGGAAAGGCCATCTGCGATCAACAGCATTCACACTCAAAAACAAATGTCAAGACAGACCATAGACAAATAAGAAAAGGGCAGAAATACTCCTTACGTTGGAGGAGCTCGATTTCGCGGGTGGTTAGCGCTTTCCGCTGCGATCGTTGAAGTTAAGCAACTTCGCAGCGGTCGGTCATTGGATGGGTGACCAAAAATCTTCTATCTCGAGTTCCCCCGTGCTTTGGAAGGCACTTTAAGCCGTTGGTCCCGGCTGCATCTGCAGTCGTTAGCACCCGCCAATCTGCACTGGGCCCGCGTAGTAGTCATGGCTCAATCTCCCTATTCCATCCATAGGGAAGGCCTATGCCTCGGTAGTAGGGACATTAATAGGCTGATGATGACTCCTTATATGTTACACAGTGCCCCGTGTTTCACTCACTTGACAAGCCTACTTAGCAAGCCGTATTTTTTTTATTTGTTTTCGATATTATTTATGTTTTTTTTTATTTTCATGTTATGTTTATTTTATTGTATGTTTTTAACATTTCCGTTTGGTTTTTGATACTAATAATTTTTAATAATTTTAAAATAACTTTTAAGGTTCATAATAACTGTTGTTTAATAATATTAAAGTACTTAACAAGAGTAATTAGTTAAAGTTAACTTGTATTTTTTATTATAAATATGACTCGCGCCAATAAAAACGACGGCGCAAGACACATTGTGTCCCTCTCGCACATTCTTCCTCTAAGGAAGTGTGAGAGAGATAAAATGTATTTGTTTTGTTATTTTCTATTCCTTTATTTTTAGCGCGAGTTCCATTAACGCATGAATAAAAAATTGATTATTTTTCATGGTGTGTTTAACATTGATACTGTATTATTAATTTATTGAAGATTATTTATTTATTTATTTATCATAGGAGTTTTATATACTGTATCATGATAATGTATAGCATTATTTAATCGAACGAATATCTGAGATATCTGCTGTTTATTTAGAGGTGGCAGATAGAAACAACAAGGGCCATGACAGTTAGGACATTAATCAACGCTAACGCGCAGGTATTCGTAGAGAAAATAACAACTAACGCGCAAAATGCTCTCGCTTAGCTTCCCTTATCACTTGACCTGCAATAATGTGCTTTATATTCTAATAATTTAACTTTTAAGTGAGAATTCTATTTTATTAATTCATATTTTAGGATGTTAACAGAAGCCCAAGCACGAATTTTGAGAGATCCGTACCCTTGGCATGAACCAATATCGAATTCGAATAGTTTGCGAGTGCGAAATGTTACTGTCAAATGTGTTCTGATTTTTAGTTCTCGTTACGTCCGTTGTGGCGCTGCTGTTCAAGTTTCCATACAAAATTTGACAATGACATTTCGAACTCGCAAACTATACGATTTCGATATTGGTTCGTGCTAAGGGTACTGTAATCGTATCGCATCGTCAAAGTTTCTATGAAATCTAAACAGCGCCCCTACCGGACGTGAGAACAAACTCTTTCCATATAAAATTCAACGATGACGATACCGTTACGGAGCTGTCAAGATTCGTGATTCATGTCTCAGCACGGTGGTTGGTATAATATAAATCAAGCTTTGACACGCATTTAACACTGCTAATATATAATATTTTGATAAATAAAACACACTAACATTAATTTATTTGCTACAGGATGTTTGTCACCAACGCGAAAAAGAGTTGGTCGTTATTCGTACGCTAGCACTTCATATGGCTATCCATATTTGCTTTTTGAATTGTTTACAACAGTGGTGTTGATTCTGGCTTAATTCTCTGAAGTTAAACATAAATTTGACAACAGCTATATCCTTGGCCTTCTCTATACATAATGAAAAGGAGAGACTTATATTAAATGTAGCTTTAAGTTTAGAGAATCATGCCATAATCTACACCAGTCTATCCATATGTTCTATAAGGAATGAAAAGTATAAAAATGCTGTCAAATACATAAATAGCAAATACGGATAACGAATAGCCATGTTTTAGACGAATGATTTTTGCCGATAAGTGTTACAATATACAGTTATCGATTCCATCCTTTGACATGATTGCAACTAAAATGAGGCAGGGGCTAAAATATTTAACGTAATTTTAAAGCTTATTTAGGAAATACAATATTTACTGGGAACTCTATTGCACAGCGAGTAATGCTTACGAATTCAACATTCCTTACATTTCTTTAGTCTATGATAACTCGTAAGGTAAAGGACGTTTTATTGCAAAATCATGAAATATTTTTTGGTTAAAGGTTAATTAATACTTGGGCCCAAGCACGAATTTTGACAGCTCTGTAATCGTATCTCATTGTCTCATGAAAATTAAGCAGCGCCTCTACCGGACGTAAGAACAAACTGGCTCCTTCCATACAAAATTTGAAGATGACGATACGATTATGGAGCTGTCGAAATTAGTGTTTGGGATTCTGATCCGAATTAATCTCTTACCTAAATTTGTTTTTTTTACGTCCTGTTATGTCCTATCCCAATTACGACAAATTCGGTAATGTAATTTCCATCTAATCTGTTATTCGAAAAAATAAGTACAATTTGTAACTAAACACTTTGAAAGAGTAAACAAATCTGTTACGGTCTTGGTGGGTTGTGAAAGTTCAAGGTTACGAATTTCAGTAAAATCTCTGATATCTAAGACTATTTCCAAGTATAGCAGTTAATAAATTGTAGGAATCTGTACTAGAAAAAAATCAACTTCCCTTTGACCCAGTTTGGATGCGAACCAGTCTTCTTCTCTTTTACCTCTACCAGGACTTTAGCAGACACTGGTGTCGATTATGACATGATTCTCTAAACCTAAAAATTAATATGACAACAGTCAATCCTCGACATTCTCTATACAGAATAAAAACGAGAGACTGATGTAAATTTTAAGTTTAGATAATCATACCCGAGTCACCAATATATCGAATTTCTGCTTATATTTCTTATCGGGACCTTAGCAGACAAAACGTCGACAATTTTTTTTGCATCTTGTGTACCTAATTACGAACAAAGTAGGGACAAGTTTCATTCGGGGGAACATTCCTTTCATAACCTTGCAGAATTTAACGTGAATCTTTCAATTGCAGCCCGATCCACGCGTCTGCCACACGTCTCTGATGGAACAGATCAAACGCGGCGCGACTTTGCGCCGCAACAAACATTGCAACGACCGTTCAGCGCCCAAAATACGCTAAACGACGCGCGACATTCATCATTCCACACAACACAAGTACATTCTTTGTTATAACTACAGTTTCATTGCAAATCGCTACCGGAAAGTGTCGAATTTTCTTAACAGATTGTTAATACAGATGAATTCAAAAGACAGTGTTAGCCCACAAAGTACTAACAGTGCGATAAGGATATAATTAATAGTGACAGTTGAGTGAGGGCGCCACTGTCTACGGAAATGACCTAAATGACTAAAAAAATATGACGTTTACAAATACGGAGGCGTTAGTTCCAATTTTCGCCGCATTTATTTGTGCAGAGAGTGGAGTATAAAAGATATTTCTATCATGCACACGTTTACGTTAACTAAGCCGAATTTATTCGCGACTAGCGACACAGGTTGTCACAATCAAAAGCGTAAGTTTAGGTAAAATTTTCGAAGATGACCGAAGTCGTCCTAATGGCTACTTTCTATTTTGTGGTGCAAATCAGCAGCTGTTTGTATTTCAAAAACTGCCCAAATTCACTGTCAATATATTTTGAACCTTACTAAATGGCCGCATTGTTCCGTCCGTAATGATGAAATTGTCAGCAATGGATTGGAGACTTTGACATTTTTTGGTAACCAAGTAGCCTTGCGTGTTACTGCCAGCACATTATTGTAACTTTGTATAATAAATAATAATGCTATAGAACATTAGGAACATAAAAAATGTTGCCGTCTTGAATTTTGTGGCTACGAAGAAACTATAGTCGTTGCAAAGTATAGATTAATAGTTAAAATCGCGTCCACACATTTCATTCGAACTCAAATTTGCTATTGTAGATAGATTTTAAAATAACAGAAAAATTCATGACATTTCAATGTTAGACGTCTGAGACGTACTATCGTCGCTTAATTACTCCGTTAATCACAGATCGTCCACAGACTACGTAGGTTTTAAAATTCTTTACACAAAGTTGACGTCACACAGTAGACGTCATCGAACCGAGCGTTTTGGCGTTTAATTCAAAACCATTAAAATTATATTCAACTTTAATTCGTTTAATGGACAAAAAAGACGTTAATTAATTTATTTTATATTTTTCTGTTAAACCGTTTGTCCCAACCTTTAAATATAAGCAGTTTTCAAAACTCTAAAATACCCTATTCTTTGCAATAAAGATAAGAGCTTTAAACAAAAAATATGCTAATCATTCACGAATGTCATAGTACTCTGATAGAACCTAAGACGTAAAGAATCCACTCAAACATGCCTGTATGAAATTGATTACTCTCTAGAAAGATGGAAAAAGCTATCATACGATTATAGATGCGCTGACAGATAGAACAGTGTGAATGAGACGAAAGTTCGGCCGTCGATAGAATGCGATCCTTACAGATGGTGTCAGTTCCTAATGGCTACATATAAAGTATAACTAGTACCATCAAAGAAGCAAATTGAAAATGCCGGCGCAAGACATTCTGTCTCTCTCGCACGTTAGTAAAAAGGAGGTTCGAAAATCAACTCTAATTCTGTAGCCATAAGGATGCAATGCACGACCTGTTAGGAACGCATTCGTTCGTTGGCCGCACTTTAAGCGGTCGAGCGAATAGTCGCGTATTATATCGCGTTCAAGTTTAACTGGCAGCTGGCTAAAGAATACTCTGTCCACTCTCTCTGTAAATGTGGATAGAACTCATAACATCGCTCGATTACAATCTTTGTTATTTTTATCGAATCAAAAATAATTAAAGATTCATTTGTTTTACCGAAATTTTACATTTGCGTAAACGCCAAGCTGTATGGCGTTTGGAAAGCTCAATCTATGTAAGGACGCAGGGTAAAGAATATTAATCCTTAATTCAATAAGACAAGACATACTATAACATGGCAAAATTGAAAAGAAATTTATATATAACTCAGAGTTAGTCACGCGCTAAACATTTTCCTAACAGGACAATTAGTCGTGCTTGTATTCTCACATTCAGAATTCCATTATAAGTACGTCACTATATTCCCGATATGATTATCCAATATTTGTTTTCAATAGGTAACAACGGTTTGTTTATTTTTATACAGGATGTATTTTCATGCTGTAAAGGCCAGTTAACTTTTATATAATTGATATGAATATAATATTTTTAATACTAATAGGTAAACGGATAATAAGTAAAATTGCAAAACATTTGTATAAATTGAACTTAACACTTCTTCCTTCAATATATTTTTACACGACTACACGGCAATAATGAAGTTAATGTTTTCAAAATTCATGTACAGTACCAGACCATTTATAAGTCGCATCGTGCTTTAGAGAGAGATACTCGGCTAGCTTCGGCTACGTTCGGCTTTGTAGAGCGTCATCTCTGCCACACGAAACACTAACAGTCCGGTATCTATTAAGGGCTGCTAAAACTTTTTTAAGTTTTTTTTTAGAAATCAATACAAAACAAAACGTGTAGGTAAAAGACAACATATATATATAATATGTACTATGTATGTTAATTTATTTATTTTAATGAAAACCTATTTTTTATTTCCAACCAAATAACAAAATACAAAAAACTATTAGATATGCGAAGCCTCTCATAAAATAATTACTGCCATCATCATCCTTAATTGCTCTTTAGCGACGTTGAACTACTACTGACAAGTCCGCAACTAAAGGTCAGGTTGACAAGAGTGACAGAGACGGCGCTATACGAAGCCGAAGCTAGCCGATTATCTCTTTCTAAAGCTCGATGCGAATTATAAATGGCCGGGTACTGTATGTATGTCCAATTGTTTTTACGACACAAACGCTAATATTTATTATACTCTTTAACACCATGGGATCATAACGATTAAGAACAATTTTAGACAGATTAGTTTAGAGAGTCAAGAAGCCTAGTTAGAATTGCCATTTTTTTTCCTTGTTGGTAAATTGATAGATTTTATCCAAACGGAAAGCAAGTTGTTATAAGCATATTACGATAAAAGACGCGGACGTTTCATTCTGTTAACTATATAAACGTTTATGGTTTAAAAATATACATCAAACACTGTATTATATTATAATAATCATTCATTTTGATAATTCGTATGTTGAAGTATTTTTTTTTATACTTTAATATTTTTAAAATTATATATGGCAACACGAAAAACAGCATATACCTACTGCTTACCGGATTTGCGCTTCTCGTCAAAGAATATTAATGGAATTATTATGGAATGGAAGGAATGAGTGGAACACTCTTAACGGGTTATTTGCTAAATGACAAAAATATGAGATTTAACATTTATAGAAATGATGAATTATTATTATTTTTAGTATTACAATAATTATTGGAATAACTTTTCCTTCCATACATTATTAATGTGAAATTTTTGGCTCTTTCTATGTAATGCGGATATTATAATTATGCATGAATAATATTTCCTGTTATAATGTACACTCGCGGAAAGACCCGCTCTGTCACCCATAATGCCATAATCGCTCGCGGTAGCGGCGTAGTAAAAATTCATTCATAGACATGTAATTATCGCTGTCATACTTTTTCGTATAGCGCTGTCGCGATCAAGATGCGGATGGCAAATTGCAACTAAAACAAATGCAATTCAATTCATTATCCACCAATGAAATGCTCTCTGTCTTACTTTTGTGAGGCGGCCCGAATTGGCGCGTCCGACGCGAAGGCGGGCCGTAGTAAAAACTACTGTAGAAAACCGTTCAAAGCATTTTGTTCGCCAAGTGACAGAGCGCAAAATTCCGCGATAGTACATAATATTGCCGAATTACAAAATTATGTGTATAAGGAGCCAAAAACCACGATGTTAATAATACTAAAATAAAAAATATTGTAAAGAAGTTACGTCCATCGTATTGATGTATGCTAATCTGAGCGGTATTACTTAGTGCGAGAGCTGTCTTTGCCATGACACATTGAAAGTTTCCTATTAACTATGTCGAACGGACCTTATCTGAACAGGTAATACGTACGTGTTGGAGTAATTCATAGAGTTAATTCCCCTTTCTCTGATGTCACAGTTTCAATAGTCACACGTTATGACTCCACTGCGCTTTAAAAGGCTTACTTACCTTAACATTCATTCATGTTAGTGTACCAGCTTGCTGAATCAGCGGAGTTTGAAGTTTCATCTTAAAACGTGTTGAAATGACGTTTTCGACTTTATTTGTATGTAGGATTTGAGTTGGAAATTCCACCTAGGTAAATAAATTTAACTTGCGTAATAACTTTACGTACAGGCATTGTAACATATAATTACTTTGTTAAATCTAGGCATTTTGAATCCTATTGGAATGTATTGAAGGCGGCTGTATTTTTTTTATGAATTTCGATAACAAATCAAGAAGAGGCTTTGTAAACTCTGAACATATTTGTTTTTAAGGTAGTGGCACCAATGTCCGGCAGGAGCCAATGATCTTTGTTTGTACTATCACTACACACTATCACGATAGCTGTTGTGGAATGAGGTCAAAAATCTACGGCCCTGTAAGAATGTGCAGCGAAAAAAACACGATGATGTAGATCTGCACTACGACAAGCGGTTGCAGAACCGCACCCCGCAGCGTACTGCGTTGATATTGAATCATCTTATCATATTAAACACTATGTTGAGAAACTTCTTTGTCTACTTCTACTGTACCTACATATATATTTTATTTTATGAAATCGTTAAGGTACTTTGCTGTGTTTAGCACTAGAAGGCGCTTCTTCAATTTCATACAGTCTTATGTGTAACTTAAACGCGATTGAATTAGTTCAAAACTGAATCTCACTTCAAAGCTGGTATTTTAAACTTAATGGCGAGTACATAAAGTTATTTTGAAGTAAAGCGGTAACTGCAATTTCAACAAGATAGAAAATTTTGGGTGCACGGTCCACACATCTGAAGTGAAACTTGCAGGCGGTGCACAAGGCATAGGGGAATGGAGCAGTGCATGCATCACACACACACACACACACACATATATATATATACATTGTCGCGTGTGACGCTCGTGACGCTCGTAGCGTTTCGGCCTTCGCCGAGTTACCCTCCAACTTTCATGCTCGTCGGGAAGAGCTGCGCACGCAGCCAACACACACACTCAAACATATAGTCGTGTGATGCTAGAGACGCATTTCTGACTCGTCATTCTAAAAAAGTTCGTCCGTTTTCAAAAAAGTTTCGCTTTAAAAAGCTGCTGAATATGACGTTAAACTCAAATACGTTAGATTTTTTTAATTAAAGCTTGTATTGTTCGATTTGTATCATCTAGTGGCAAATGCTACGCAATTACTTCATAATGAAATAAAGCAAATCCGATGTCTTAGTTTATCTGCGCTAAGTCCTATCAGTAGAACTGAATAAGCTAATGGGAAAATTATACGAAAGAAATAATACATATAAAGAAAAACATATCTCTTGAATGCCGCAAACTTGTGATTCTTTTTCATTGGGATGTGAACGTAAATTGTGAGTGTCAAAGATTTTTAAATATAAAAAATAATAAATGTAAATTGATGTGTGTTAAAAGCCAACTGTAGGCTGTTTCTGAATAGGAATCTGGTTAAATGTATAGTTAACAGCACAACAAGTTATATTAAACTTTATCACATATTATGACATAAAGTTGAAAATACCATGAAGTGTTGTTCATTGTACACGTTGACGCTCACTGCACTAAAATAACGTTTCTTAAAAGCTATATTTATATTGTATACATTCTCGTCTAACGTAACGTTTATAATGATTAATAATGATTGATAATGATATTTTAATAGTGGTTTTATAGAGAGTCACTTCGTTCGTTTATAGGATAAAAAGTGTTGTAGCATCTCTTAGGTAGTCAAATACAATCAGCGAGTTATCTGAGGCTAAAATATTTAGTTTGATATTTTTTTAACGGATGCAAGTTAAATATAATATTGGTAATTGTGTAGATAAGCTCGTGGTTTAATTACGAAAGCTTTTAGTCCTGTAATTTATTATAATAATTATTATTACATGATCTTAATGTTATGATTTTAATTTCATTATTTTAATTGTACTGGATGGCATATCTTTTCATGGATGTTTATTTTTTGTAATTTATACATATTTTTTTCGTTTTCGTACTTTTTCAGTTTTCTTTTGTCTTTGGTTTCTATAACGAGCGGTACTGATAGGTTTAACTAATAATTTTAGCGTTTAAAGTGTTTATAATTAACGAATAGATGTGTAGGGTAGATTTTCTTGACATATCTGATTTAAAAAAAAAGGTAATATAAAACTTGTAAGATGAACGTCCAATGTCGATTGTTGTCGCTAAATATTATAACCTTTGCTTTAGTTATAACGGAAATAATTAATATCCCTATCTTTGTCTTTGGAACTGTTAAAATTAACTTATTATCTGCGGAGTAATTATTGTTAGTGGTAACTATGGTTGTAACATTTTTGAGTGCTTATTTTTTTTCAAAAGAGTTTTTATCAAGTCGTTAGTCTTTGGTCATAGCATTCTCAAAGGTGTGTTTCGATACGACTGACGGTTCACTCAATCCAGGACGTGTATAATATTTTTCTAAGAATGTAATGTTTCATTACAATTTTCCTTTTGTTAAAGAACCATTTGAATATGTAATTATTTCCGATGTAACTTTTTGTGTAATAGAGACTTCCGATCTGTTAGTCGTTACTAAATTGTACTAAATAAGAGAGATTGCGTTTGTAATTGATAATTTGGTGGGAAATAAATGATTATAATGTCCCTAAAGTTTTGTTTGTTTTCCTAATGTCCTAATTATGAAAGTTTATTAACTAATTAGATGTTACAATGAGATCCTATTTTATTGATCTTATTTTAATCGATTAAGGTAGTGGCACCTATGTCTGACAAGAACCAATGATCATTTTTTTCTGTAATCAATGAAAAGAAGAGTATGCAGATGTAGACCACTTAACTGAGTTCTCGCCTGCGGGGTTAAGGGTGTAGGTAGGTTTGCCAACCCTACTATATAATATAGGATCCTACTATATTAAGGGATCAAATACTATATTCTAAGAAAAATATATAGTAGGCGAAACTACTATATTTTGCATAAAACATATTTTTGTCAGTAAAAGCTTTCTTAAAAATTAGAAGAAACTAGCAAACCAGTGAACCAAATGTTCACCAAAACCTGATTTCTCGAAAACCGGAAGTGCTACGTTACTCAAATCCGGTTTGTAGTCTTATCAGACTATTCTTAACTTATAACTTAAACATTCTCTTTATCTATCTCTTACGGTTTGGCCGCTGAAACAGCACCACGGACGGACGGACTTGTCTATTAGATAAGAGATTATTATTATATTATTAGTAAGGCAAAGAGCAG